AATACACATACAAATCCTTCTACACATTTGTGCATCTCACGCGGCAGAAGATTAGCAAAAATCATGTGTGTAAAGAGAGCCAACCGAAAAACCGCTTGACTTGTAACCAATGATTTGTCTGTATTTCTGGGTCTTGAAGCGAAAATACTTCAGACGCAAGTGTCTCTGTGTGTGCTTACAGATTGATCTACACATTTGCAAGTCTCAGTACACATTTGCAGATCTGAATACAGATTTGTGGATTTTTTTACACATTTGCAAGTCTCAGTACACATTTGCAGATCTGAATACAGATTTGTGGATTTTTTACACATTTGCAAATCTCAGTACACATTTGCAGATCTGAATACAGATTTGTGGATTTTTTACACATTTGCAAAATGGATTACACACAAGTAGTTTTACACATTTGCAGATTGTTGCACAGACACACAAATCTCCTCACACATTTACAGATTAATTTACACATTTTCAAATCCCACTGCACACACACAAATCGAGATACAGACACACAACTCTCCACACACATTTGCAAATATTAAAGCTACCATTTTGGCCCCATATTAAAGCTTTGGGAAAATTCTAGCACATACTCTGTTTGAGACTGTGGTTAATTTGTACTTTTTCTAATTTAAACCCCCACACTTTCAGTGGCCATCATGACAGTAAAATGACATGCACTTTTCTAATTTACAATAATGGATTAAATATGCTGGAGTTAGAAATGTTTTTCTGACGATTAAGAATCTGCATTCACATTTTAAATTAATGCTACTCAGCCTTGAACATTTAGTTTTTTATCTATTCATTTCCTATACAAACAAAATGGAAAGGCTAAACTAAAGAAGGTACGATTTAGCTGTTATTTATGAACTATATTGGTCTAGATCGGAGAAGAATCAAATCTTTTAAAATGCATGCTGGATGTAAGAAAACATTATGAGCCAATTATTTTTCATATAGTACTGGCAAAAATTAGCTCTTTGTGCCATCTAACCAAGAGTAACAATAATTCCTTTCCAAAGTTTTTTTTTTTTTTTTTTTTTTTTTTTTACTTGCTGTTTATGTTATTGATATAGGCTAAATCATAATATATTTCTAGATGTTTATAGTGTGAACCCTTGCAGTCCACCATGTTTTTCCGGTGGAGCTTTCTGTGTAGTTACTGTCACTACCCCATCTGTAGCGGAAGCATGATCCGTACCATCAGCTAATTTGCACTTATGCGACCACAAATTCATCCAGGTTGCAACTAATGAGGGTTGTAATGAGGGTACAGAAGTACTTATTTCTGTCTTTGCAACTTTGCGGAGATAATTGATGTGTTTACATTCTTTCCTTCATATTGCTTGTCTAAAGTCATCAACACACACACATAGTTGTCGGAAATATGATTACATCATTATCTGTAGTTATCTGTATTTTAGTTTTTCCCCCAGGACACCCAGCAAGCCAGGGGATACCACTGATAGTGGTAGTATTTGCTTCACTAAAGTCTGACCTTTAATGTAGCCAGCAGTGATGGGTGATGCTACCGCAGACGCGCTGTCATTGTATCTGTGTTGCTCTCTCTGACTGCCGCTGTCCTAAAGAACATAGAGCAATGTTCTTCCTTTAAGCCATTGCCGCCTCTTTCAGTGGCTAAAGCATCTCTTCTTAGCTCCCTTTAATAAGTTTCTCTCTCTGATAATTTCTCAAACATTTATTTGAAAAAAATAAAATAAAAAACATAGGAAAAACAGGAATGGTATTCTGAAAAATGTAAGAGGTTTTTAAAACTGTGACTTTTTCACACCAGGGTATACTTTTAAACCCTATCCTAGCCACGATTGTAAAAATGAACATTGATAAATGCTAACATACATATATTTCACTCTGTATAATGAATTTATATAATATTCAAGATTTACTGAAAATCACTGAAATTTCTGATTGTGTTGTGATTACATCACTATTATATACCAATTTTGACCAATATATATATATACACTATATTGCCAAAAGTATTTGCTCACCCATCCAAATTATTGGAATCAGGTGTTCCAATCACTTCCATGGCCACAGGTGTATAAATTCAAGCACCTAGGCATGCAGACTGTTTTTACAAACATTTGTGAAAGAATGGGTCGCTCTCAGGAGCTCAGTGAATTCCAGCGTGGAACTGTGATAGGATGCCACCTGTACAACAAATCCAGTCGTGAAATTTCCTCGCTCCTAAATATTCCACAGTCAACTGTCAGCTGTATTATAAGAAAATGGAAGTGTTTGGGAACGACAGCAACTCAGCCACGAAGTGGTAGGCCACGTAAACTGACGGAGCGGGGTCAGCGGATGCTGACGCGCATAGTGCGAAGAGGTCGCCAACTTTCTGCAGAGTCAATCACTACAGACCTCCAAACTTCATGTGGCCTTCAGATTAGCTCAAGAACAGTGCGCAGAGAGCTTCATGGAATGGGTTTCCATGGTCGAGCAGCTGCATCCAAGCCATACATCACCAAGTGCAATGCAAAGCGTCGGATGCGGTGGTGTAAAGCACGCCGCCACTGGACTCTAGAGCAGTGGAGACGCGTTCTCTGGAGTGACGAATCGCGCTTCTCCATCTGGCAATCTGATGGACGGGTCTGGGTTTGGCGGTTGCCAGGAGAACGGTACTTGTCTGACTGCATTGTGCCAAGTGTAAAGTTTGGTGGAGGGGGGATTATGGTGTGGGGTTGTTTTTCAGGAGCTGGGCTTGGCCCCTTAGTTCCAGTGAAAGGAACTCTGAATGCTTCAGCATACCAAGACATTTTGGACAATTCCATGCTCCCAACTTTGTGGGAACAGTTTTGAGCTGGCCCCTTCCTCTTCCAACATGACTGTGCACCAGTGCACAAAGCAAGGTCCATAAAGACATGGATGACAGAGTCTGGTGTGGATGAACTTGACTGGCCTGCACAGAGTCCTGACCTCAACCCGATAGAACACCTTTGGGATGAATTAGAGCGGAGACTGAGAGCCAGGCCTTCTCGTCCAACATCAGTGTGCGACCTCACAAATGCGCTTCTGGAAGAATGGTCAAAAATTCCCATAAACACACTCCTAAACCTTGTGGACAGCCTTCCCAGAAGAGTTGAAGCTGTTCTAGCTGCAAAGGGTGGACCGACGTCATATTGAACCCTATGGATTAGGAACGGGATGTCACTTAAGCTCATATGTGAGTCAAGGCAGGTGAGCAAATACTTTTGGCAATATAGTGTATATATATATATATATTAGTGCTGTCAAAATTATCGCGTTATTATCGCGTTAACGCGAGGCCATTTTAACGGCGATAATTTTTTTAACGTGAGATTAACGCTATGTGGTTTTATGGTACAATTTTCCAAGTACATCCCACTGCAGCCTGCGGGAAGGCGGGGCTATTTTCCCCCCAGTGTATGCATTTCTCATAGGCTTCGAGAGCGGAGAGCTCCTCATGGAAAAAAGACGCTCATACACTGGGTAGCGCTAGTGCCTTTTCTTTAAGCCCCACCACCAACAAACAAGTTGAGTGTCTGGTAACTAGTAGCAACCTGAAATACGCTGAGAAAACAGATTACTGAGGTGAAATGGAATCTGCTACGGCACTATTGCTGTCTGTGTACGCAACAGGTCGGTATCGTGTGTGTGTGTGTGTGTGTGTGTGTGTGTGGGTGGGTGTGTGTGTGTGTGTGTTCTAATTTTTGTTAAGAGGCTGAAAAGTAACTTTCTAGAGCATAGACTACCTCCATCTAGTAATGTCGGTCTATTGATTTTGATGTATTGATTGAAAATTGTTCATTATTATCTTGGTTAATTAACATCTAATGTTAACTCTACTGCATTTTATAGCAGTAGGGTAAAATGCTTGTCTTTGTTCAAAAGACTGTATTAACTGTAAAGACTGTCTTTTACATCAGCCTGTTTTCAGGGCCTTTTTTTTGGCTACATATTTGTTATTTTTTGCTACATGCCTCCCCATCTTCTTGCCATATGTTTCTATGGCATAAATCAGTGTCTGTGACCTGTTTTCATTTAAAAAAAAGAACATTGGCACAAACCTAGCCTGTATGTATTTTTTGTATGTCATCGGGAGTATTTAAATGATTTTCAATCAGAAAAAAAAATTGCGATTAAAATGCGATTAATCGCGAGTTAACTCAGGCATTGATGCGATTAATCGCGATTAAAAAAAATTAATCGATTGACAGCACTAATATATATATATATATATATATATATATATATATATATATATATATATATATATATATATATATATATATATATATATATATATATATATATATATATATATATAATATAGGCCTATATATTATAAGGATTCACTGCATATATATATGCAGCATTCACTGCAGGTCCAGTAGATCCGAAACAGCTTCTTCCCCACCGCCATCAGCCAGTTGGATGTTGAATCTGCATCAAACTGATATATCAATGCGTTTCTTTGCACCCTGTTTTTTCCTCCCACAATGTTTACATTTGATCACTGCTGCACTTTAAGAAATGGATGTGAGAGCTGTACAAAACAAAATTTCACTTTGTATACACTCTGTGTATACAAACTGACAATAAATGTTGTCTAAGTCTTTTAGTGAAATCTAACTTATTGAAACCTGTATAGCTGTAAGATGACTTCTAACATATACTTTTGTGCCAACTTTTTCCTCCTCATGGCCCCTGAATTTCTATTTTTTTAGGATTTCTTTTTTTATTCAAAGAGCCATTGTCTCCTTTCTCGTTGGTAAGATGTTAGGATCCACGTCGAGACCTCTGACTGAAGAGAATTCAAGATGAATATATTTGTTTTAACGTTAAACTCAGTTAGTGTTGGTGACAGCCATGATAAATGTTTTGCCAGTCCAGTGAAAAAGGTTCAGTTTCAGCATCACATGCAATTCAGTTTTATTTCAATGACAGAAGAGAATAAAGTTTGCCTTTCAAATATACAAATGACAATAAGAAAATCGGCTAACTCTCACCAGTGTTCCAACCAATCATTGGGGTCAGGCCGATCCCAGCTGACAGAGTCCAGCACAGAGCTATAATGCACTTCGCCCTCTGCCCTGTTACCAGACTGTTGTACCTGAAGGGTTGAACAAAGCACAAAGATACAATGTAAGGAAAAAATCTTTGTCTAATCTCTTTGTGATTACGTCATTGAGAGGAAAGGTAAATGTTTGCAGATTTTAGCCGCATGTGCACTTAAATCTAACTTCGTTATTTATATATTAAGACAAATTGATGGTTTCTTAAAAGAGCCTCAGAGTAATCAGCACACATTACTTTTATGGTCTGGCTTTGCTACTTATGGGTTTGATGATTAAACACGCCACAATCACAAACAATTACATTTTTGAAAATAATTTTCTTTAGAATAGGTTATTTCTAATTTTTTTTTAAATAATTTATTTAATTTCCTTATTTGCTTTTCCTTTTAATAGAATTATAAATACACCAAACATAAAAATGTGTAGGACTAGTTTGTTTTTTACAAGTATGTTAATCAAATAAAACCAGATCCCAAAGTAAATTTTAACTCTGACAATGGAGAGTCACTACTTCTACTAAGTCATCCAAATAATTCAGAGCAGGTTTTTCAAAATATTGTTGTTAAAATGCCAAAATCTATCAAAAACACATGTTTTTTTTTCCCCCCTATGTCCACAAATCTAAAAAAGGTGTCATTTATTTAAGGCTTCATATTGACTAATTAGCAGGATCGGATATTGATGATTCGATAGGGAAATCAGAGATCCAATCCAGTGCACTTTACAAGGAAATGTTATTTCTTTCTTTTTGCTGATTATGTTTTACTAAATAATGTAAATTACATTTATATCTGTGTTTATTTGTTTCCCTTGTTTTTTTAGCTATGTTTATGTGAAGGCTAAAGCCTTCACTCACATGATAAGATATATGGTTCCTTTGTGCATACTATTTTATGCACAACATTGAGATTGTGCATAATTTATTATTTTTTTATTTGATAATTTAGTGCAGCTCACCAACCAGAAGGTACAGACAAACATGGATATATATGAAATACAAATAACAGACTTATTTTAGGAGCACCTCATATATACTTAACCTACTATCCATAATTGGATAAACACAAACACTTGAATTCATGAAATGAGGTTGTTAAAAAAAAAAAAAAAAAAAAATATATATATATATATATATATATATATATATATATATATATATATATATATATATATATATATTCTATATATTCTAAACATTTTTGTTTTCTCTTTAATCTTTTTCTCATTGCCCTCCAGAGGGGGGAAATGCAACATCACTCATTCCAGAAACTGCAGAAGTCTGATTTTGGGAAGTTGTGCTGTGAAAAAGTTGTTATTTGTTTTTTCTAAATGATACCTTTTAGGGGTTAATTTGCTCCTCTGTAAGCAATTTCCAATTACCATTAAAAGACATACACATTTTCAGAAAATTCAGGTAGAAAACACTGATGATGGAAAAAAGCATTTCTATTAAAGGTGTTGATTTGTAGAAAAGGCGTATTAGTGATTTAAAGCAAGCTGAAACTTACTCTGTGTTTAACAGAAACTTGAATTTTGATGAGTCATTATGACAGTCGATAAGCTGATTTAGTTGTTTTTCTTTTTTCTCTTTTTATGTTTATTGGTGAACATGGTGTGTTTTTGTTTTTTTTATTTTTCTAGGGTTGTAAATATCTAGGTTGAATAAGTAAAACTTAAATGGAAATGGGGGCAGATAATTTTTTTTTTTTTACTGCTTTCTGCTCCTTATCTTTCATTCATGATTTCAGTCGTCGCCTGCACATGTTTTATTAGGGTTGTTTTTTTTCTTTTTAAATGAACGAGTGAATAAAATTCAATTTCTGCAGAAGGTTTGTAATATTTCTTGAAACTGTGTTTGCATGAAAAAATAAACAATAAAAAAGCTGGGTTGATAGATACAATAAATATGACTAACATGAAATATAGCTTAAATAATCTTTGAATCATTAGTTGAAATAGTCAAAACTGTTTTAGTGCTTTTGACCAATATCCTGGACAAGTTGGCACCAGCCTTAGCAGTCAGTACACAATGAGGTTATTATGCAACTCCTTATGCAAATGCGTCACCCGCTGTGGATTACGAGATAAAACTTTCCTAACAGGAGTTAGTAACCAACTACTAATTCAATGTTCTAAAAAACACCAATTTTAGAACAAGGGAATCCAGAAAGCATTAAGAACTGCTGAAGGTTAGATGTTTCTGCACCTTTACCTCCCATCAATGCAGAATAGCTTTGCTATGCATGGATGAATCAATGCAAATATGTCCAGGTGAAACGCTCATTCTTTGTTGTTTTTTTTTCTTTTCAGAGCTTGTTTGCATATTTCCTGTCTTAGTGGATTGCAATAAGGTTTGTTTAGTCATGGCGTGGAGTGGTGGGGCACCTGAGAGGGTTCTTGATTGCGATGTAGCGGTCCACAGCAATGGCCAGCAGACTGAAGATTGAGCTCTGCGTGAGTATGAGGAGAAAGCAGGCGATGAAGAGGCAGCCGTAAAAGTCGGCACAGAAGCCCACACTGGAGATGGATAAAAAAGGAGCCATTACCGTAACAAAAAGGCAGCTATCACAACAATTAAGAGAAAACATCAGTGGGTTGTATCTCATCATGTAATGTAATATTTCAGTGGCACAACATTAACCCTTGCCCAAAATTAGATAACGACCAGGAAATGATACCTAATTGTGATGGCAAAGGGAATTGCCAGCAGCCCCACAGCGATATCAGCAACTGCCAATGAGACCACAAAGAAGTTGGTGATGCTCTGCAGGTTGGAGTTCAGGCAGACGGACCAGCAGACCAGGATGTTCCCAGTCACAGCCAGAAGAGCGATCAGCAGCTCCAAGCCAATATAAACCACCTGGTGAGCTTTCAGCATGGTTGTTTTTTCCCTTTTTTTGCTTTCTTTGTACATTCATCCCAACCAATCAGCTCCTTGTCTTGTTTTGAGACACAATATTTGCTCACCAGACCACATGGTATGACTTGAGACAAAAGGAATTGTGTCACATAGAGAGTGAAGCAAAGTGGGAAGTTCCCAGCACCAGCCTTGCACATGCAATGCCGGAATTAAATCCCACCTTCCCTGTCACCACTACTGTACTAGGCTGTGAGTCTTCCTCTTTTTCAAGTTCTCTTCAATAAACTCCATTATGTAGGGAGGCAGAACGCTGAGGATGGAGCTGAGGGCGATGCAAAAGAAGAGCAGCAGTCTAGAGAGGGGGGAAAAGGCAGAACATAGTGTCACTGTTTTAGCTTATATAAACAGATTTCACTGTGCTAAATGGACACGCACTGTACATGCGCACACACACACACATAAAAGAACGTATCTATCACTTGATGACAAGGGGACAGGGTCAAATCAGACAAGACAACAAGGGGCTTTTTATTTAGGAACAGGTTCCCAAAATCTCTTTCTCTTATCATTTGAGATACTGACATAGTTTCCACCAAAATCACAGATAATTAGACAAGTAACTCAAACACTAATTGTTCGAATGTAACTGTATAATGAAAGGAAAACTTTACAGAACAGTTTTTTTGTAGAAATTCTTGTATACTGTAAGCACATTAGGATTTCTTAAACAAAATGTCTACAAACGTTACAAATAATTACCTTAGACATAGGTTAAATTCTCTAAGTTAAAAAGCAGGAATAATAATAAAAAAATAATAAGATCAAATTACAGAACTATAATTATATAAGTGACACATATATGCCATGAATAGAATGATTATACATGCTCTTAACTTTCTTATTTGTTACTGTAAATTAACATCTAAGAAGTATGGCTTGTATTTCCATTTAGCTCGCTTTTTATTTTATGCTCTTAGTTGTAGGAAGTCTAGTTGTGTATAATTAAATGTTTTCTAAAGAAGAGATGTTTTTTTAAAAGGCTCTGATGTTTTCTACCAAACATTAGTGAACAAATAGCATCATGACAAAAAAAACACAGAGAAAAGATCAGAGCTCAACTGTGAGGTTATAATGGTTTGAACATCTCAAAGATCAAATTTAAAATTATATTCTGAACAATTGCAACCCTGTTAAGATATAAGCAAACATCTAAGCTGAAAGAGCATTAATCAGAGAAGCAGCCAAGAGACCAATGGTTCTCTGGAGGAGGTGAGAATATCCAAAGCTCCAGTGAGAAAATCTGCTGGCAGTTCAGTTGGTGTGCACTGTACATCTGGAAGTGTCCAGAAGAAACGCATCTTTAAAGGGAAGCCATAAATAATCTGCTTAAAACCTGCAAAATTTAATCTAAGATATTCAGCAAATATGAGGGATCCCCAAGAGCTTTTTGGCTAATATGCAAAACATTTGCCATTAGTACAGGAAAACTAACAGCTGGACTCAATACCATCCCCATACTATAACAGGGCGGTGGTGGAATCATACTTTGGAAATGCATTTTTGAAGCAGGAGCAGAGAACTAAATGTATAATAGACTTGATCTGCTAACTTTTCTGTTAATGCCAAAGTGTAACAATGTCCCTTCTTCATCTCAATGAAGCTGTTAATACTGTTGACAACATAATTTAGGCTCCCAGTTTACACCACAAAATGTGTTTTAACGTAGTTAAACAACACCTACAAAGTTCTTAGAAGATCAGATGTTAGAGCTTATACTATTAAAATGCTAAGTTTGACATTTTAAGCACCTTTATGTCACATTTTGTGAGCAATTATAAGTTTATTTCCTTTTCCGATTAGGAAAGAGGTGACCATAGAGACGATTTCTATGAAGAAATCAATAGAATTTCTACTCCTATACAGAAGAAACTTAGCATCAAACACCATGGGGGAAAAAATTAGAAAAACATACATCAAAGATTAAAGAACTTAACCAGCCTCCCCGACAACATATTTTTAAAAATCATAGCAGAAAGAAAATACTGCATGTTGATGTAAAAATTTTAAATAAATAATAATAAAAACAGCAGCTCTAGAAAACGAAGCAAACAAGCAGACCACGAAACTGTTAGGGATTAAACATGAACATTAACTAATCCTTAAGTGGCATCTCAGTTTGTGTGAGTTTACATTTTTCTAATTTATCCCTTTATAATTTAGTTAAAATGTAATAATGAAAAGTATATACATTTATATATTATATGATTATTTCTATTTTTTTCTTCAAAGAACAACATGGAGTTCCTAGGTATTCACATTATTTCTGGTCTATCTCTTCTTTCTCAGGATATTGAAATGGACTGGTGTTTCTGATCAGGCATTCACAAACCTCTTCAGCATTAATAGTGAAATCATCCTGTGCGTCATGGGAACAGTAATTCAACTTGGGAGAGACTCGCTCAGAGAAAATCTTCAATTACAAAATATTCAATTTATTTATATAGGCAACACAATCATATTCTTCAAAAATATTTCTATTTAAACCAGCACTGAGCATGTATGTAGCGAGAGTGGAGAGGAAAACTCCCTTTTAACAGGAAGAAACGTCCAGCAGAACCAGGCTCAGTGTGATCGGCCATCTGCCGAGGCCGACTGGGGTTTAAGGAGAGAAGCAGATGAAGACTTAAATGACATAAGTTATTTGCCACTCTGACCCCGGCAGAAGACTTTTTATGCTGGGAATCAACATTACATGGGTAACATAGAGAAAGGTTAGAGTAGTCTTCCCCCGACTTATTAATGTCATGGTTTTGGTTTTGTTCTAGGTTTATCTCTCAGTTTTCATTGGCCTTACTTTTCATTCTTGTTTTCTAGGTATTTTTGATTGTATTTGATTTCTAAAATATTTCCTGTTTGTCCTTTTGTCTCAGTCTCCTTTTCCTTGGCTGCCTTCTTGCCTCTCTTCATACCTGCACCCAATCTGCTAATTAGCCTGGTCTTTGTTTCGCTCTCCCATTTATTCTCCTCCTGTTCAGTCACTCTTTGCTGGTTTATTGTCATTACATTGTCCCCTTCTTGTTATGAGTATTCTTGGTTTCAGCATTTTTTTTATTTTTGTGGATTTATATTTTTGGATTTTTGCTTCTGTTAAACTTTTGTCATTAAAACATTCAAATAACCACCTCAAGCTTTTGTCTGCATTTGGGTCCCTTCAAACCTCCACCCCCACTGTGACAGTTACACTGGTGGTGGAATAAGCCAGAGATGATGAGAACAGTCTGAGAGGGAGGGAGGGAGGGGATGGGGTGAAGGTGGGTGAAAGTTCGCTTGGGTGCAGGAAGGAGAAGCTGAATCAGGAGCTAAATGAAGGGGATCTTGCAAGATGATTGAATTTGGAGATGGTGCAGCCCACGAGTTGATTGGGTGAAGCTGAACGATGGACATCGCAGGTGGTTCAGGTGAAGCTGATAACAGTCTTCCAGATGAATTTACAATTACGCTTCATGAGCTGCAACGAACAAAATAGGAAGAATTCAGCACAGGTGGTGAGGACACCACACGGGAATTGTGGGATACCTTCTACTAGATCTGGACTCGGTTTATGCTGCACATTCTTATGCTACTTCCATCATTAAACATATTTTTCCATATTTTTCTCTCTAAGTGCTTTTAATATATTATTATATAGTGTTTTCTTCTGATTCCTGAGGGTAGCCTGTAGGGTTGTATTTTCTTTCTAGGAAGTGTTTTTAATTTGAGTCTCCTTTCTACTGTATATGTGGACTGTGAGCTTGATTGATTCTTAAAAGTTAACTTAACGGTTAAGATAAAAGATAAAATATTCTTCTATTCTTTAGAGCTAGAAAAGCAAACAGTTAAATGAAAATGTGTACTATACAGGTAGAGGCTTACTGATAACCTCCTCCGCATTGAAGTATATACAATGTGCTCTAAAATCTGCTATTATCTTATTTGATTAAGAACCAATGTGACTCTGAGTGTGAAAGGAACTGATAAAAACTTTCCTACTTAAAAGACCTCTTTAGTAAAGCAGTAGAATTTTAGTTTTAGATTTGTACATTTTTCACTGCATTCATTGATGGGGAAGGACAAGCTTCGTAATGTCAAAAGAAAGAAAATGTGTCATAAAAACAACAGTGGTTACAATTAACACAAGCTCAAAATTTCAACGCAAACCACAATAAATGCTTAGAGTGTGCACTGTGCAAAAGTGCGAAACTGAACTTCGCAAAAACTCAGAAACATATGCATTCCATGCAGGCAGGCCAAAACACATTTACATCTACTTTTTTATGCTTCCTTTTAAGATCAGGTGAGCAGTCCTAATGTTGAGGCTCACTGGTGTGTAATTTGACACTAGGAACTAAAACGCCTGAATCCACTGAGGACATACTAAAAGAAAGAAAAAAGGAAAATATATCTGCAGCTGCCAGTGCAAATACAAAGAGAACACAAGTTTGCAGAATTTGCTTCTCTTTTTTTGCTCGCTCATATCTCTTAGGTAGTATTTTTAGACTCCTATACACTTCATTAAATATGAACCTCTGAAAACATACAAAATGCAACCAGCTGTACCCCTGAGGTGAACTCTTTACTGTTCAAGCAAAGTCCAACTTTCCTCTATTGCTCTGCTGTTTGGGAACTCAAACGGGATTTATGCAGTTGCTGCAAACGACCTAATGAGGTTACAACTGAAGTGATTAGTGTGCAAATCCTCCAAAGCATGGCGACAAGCAAAAACATTTTTTTTCCAACTCAAAAATGTTGCAAAAAACAAAAATACGATTTTTCATCTACTTTCACTGACAGAAAAAAAGAGAAGAAAAGGAAAATAACAGTTGATCAAAAGTTTGGTCATGCTTATGAGCAGCGGAGGAAGAGGTGATAAGAAAATGCACATTCTGTTGGAAAGCATCTGTCACTGCCCTGTCAATCAATGTATCAGCTCTGCTCCAACAAAGTTAAATGAAACAAAAACACGAGTTAGAGATGCCGATCCTATACTTTAAAATCTATTTTTATTTAAAAAGCATGGCAGAGCAGATTCAAGGTACTCCCTCCATTTATAGTAAACATGGATGATCACAACCTTACTTGCAATTTAGTAGTCTATTTTGTCATTTCCTGAAAACACTTTTCTTCAAGTTAAAGAAAATTCCCTTTTAGTTTGTTCTTTTGTAATATTTTTTTAAATATCTGATTTAAATTGAAAATCTTCATTATATGCGGTATACAACTAAAGATCTTTAAATGACGCATTTTTAACAAAGAAGTCTTTACCTGCTCCTTACCTGATGGGTTGGTCTTTATGCTGGCTGGCTTTATACTAACCTGAGACAGCAAAAAATGAGCTGAAAGTCTAAGTTTGACTGGAGGAACAGAAACTGTTAAGAAGAAAAAGATCACAGATGACAGGAAAACAGCGCGCGCGGCCCCGCTCCGTCTGCAGCGCGCTCCTTCCCCCAAATCGCTCCAACTGTGCGCAGCAGCAGCTGCAGGGTGGAGGCCCGCCCCCTCATGTAGTCTGCACAAGGCAACATGGTTCTAGTTGTGTTCTGTCAGAAAGGTGATGTGCTTCTATTTTACATTAACTGGGTGCCCTGAAGTATTGGACACAGCTGAGGGACAAATGGGGGTTTAAGGCAGACCACATCAGGGGGATAAAAGTGAAATACCTCACAAGAAAAGTGATTTTATCACAATTAAAGAAAAAGCAAATAAGCAACTTTGTGAAAGTATAATGACATTAATCAGTTGTTTTTTATTAAAGTGTCTCAGCCCATTATTTTATCTGATTAATTTTAATTCAATACCTCAACCTTTACTGGAAAAAAGATATCAAGATAAATGTGTTTATCGTTAGGACGCCCTGCATCCATTAGCAGAGGTGTCAAGTAGTGAAGTACAAATACTTTGTTACTGTACTTGAGTACACTTTTTAGGTATCTATACTTTACTCCATTACTTATTTTTCTTCCTACTTCTGACTTCTACACATTACATTTTCACACAAGTATCTGTACTTTCTATTCCTTACATTTTTAAACGTTACTCTTGGCTTCGGTTTAATGTTGTAAATATTTATTTCACGTCATGCGCGCCATCCAATCCAGATCATTGGCACCATCCACATCTAGTGAAAACTAGTGGAATTGGATGAGTCATATAACGCAAACACTCATTGTTTAGCTAAAGGAAATCATCAGCAGCAAGCAGGTGTTCTTCAAACTTTAAACGTGAATTGTCTATGCCATGCTACAATGTCGGATTCAGAAAACGATGTTGAAATGTCTGAAAGGTCGGACACAGGCGAGAGGGTATCGGGAGATGGAGACCAATGAGACCTACCCCATCCTTGGACCTACTGTATCTCAAAGAATTTTTCAAAATAGTCGAAAAATTTAGCTTTCAATTCATACAGTGGCATCTGAATGTTTTTCTTTAAAGGTTACTTTATACTTTTATACTTTAAGTAGTTTTTGGAGCACATACCTTTTCACTTTTACTTGAGTAAAGAGGTGAAGTTTATGCATCAACCTTTAACAGAGTGTTTTTAAACTGCAGTATCTATGCTTCTACTTAAGTAACAAATGTGTGTACTTTTGACACCACTGTCCATTAGACTTAGACAACATTTATTGTCATTTTGTATACACATACGTATATGAAGCGAATTTTAGTTTTGTACAGCTCTAATGACATTTCCATTCCATAAAGTGCAGCAGTGATCAAATGTAAACAGTGTGGGAGAAAACAATATGGTGCAAAAATGCTTTGTCATGAAAGTTCAGAGCATTAATATATATGATGCAAATATGCCATATTTTGGTTTGGTGTTAGTCTGTGTGATGTAGAGTCTGTGACATGATTTAGAGTTTATTTCAACATTCAGCTGTCTGATGGTGGTGGGGAAGAAGCTGTTTTGGAATCTGCTGGACCTGCATTGAATGCTGCAAAGCCTCTTCACGGAGAGCAGCAGGAGGAACCTTCCATGGTGGGGGTGTGAGGGGTCATTGATAATGTTATGATCTCGGTACACGCAACTCTGGTTGTCTCTGCTGTTCTTACCACTTTTCTCACCTTCTTCCAGTTTGAGACACTGCAGCCTCCACACCACACAGTGAGACAGCTGGTCAGAACGCTCAATATGGTGCTTCTGGAGAAGTTGGTGAGGGTGGGTGGTGGCAGGTGGGCTCTCCTCATCCTCCTCAGGAAGTACATGCACTTTTTTGCCCTTTTAACCAGTGAGGTGGAGTTTACAGTCCAGGTGAGGTTGTCTGTGATGTGATCTTCATTTTCTTCCCTCCAGGATCAGGTTGTCTCTGCACCAGAGTTTCTCGCTTTAGGTAAAACAACTGATAGCCATCCTCAACAGAAGTATTGCCAAATTCCAGCCCAATTAATAAACACAGGGCATTTTTTCATTTAGCCCACGCTTCCTCTCACAACCTGAAAGTATTTACAAGGAAATAACATGTTATACCATCCCGAAAATAGTGCTTCCTAAGTAAGCCAAGGCCATCTCTCTCAATGGTATTTCAAAATGAATATTTAATACATTTTCAGTTTTTTTATCAACAGGATGGGTACCATAAATAAGTAGGACAAACAAAAAATAAAAAAATAAATATATCTGTTGGGATCTGGAGATTCTCCATCTTCTCCAGCAGAGTGCGCTGTGGATCCTCCTGGGCTGGAGCCCTCCAGCACAGGTGACGTTCATCAGCTCATCAGGAGACCGGCCTTTATAAGCAGCTGCCAGACCTTCCTTCTACGCCGCAGTGTTAGCCAAGTTTGGTTAGCGAACCTGAGCCTTTGAATTACTAATCTTCTTAGAGAAACCTTATTCTAATCTGCCTCTGTCTTCTCGCTCCTAGGAAACCAGTCTCTCGAGAGAAGCTCTGGATGAGCTTAACCTGTAACCTGCCTGCCTGCCCTAGAGAGCCAAACCTGAAGTTTCCCACTCTGGAATCCACCTGCTGCTCTTAGGGAAAGAGCTAATCACTCCAACCAAGGTCTTTCACTGGAAGTCAGAAGCTAGCTGCTGCTGCTTAAGCACTCTGCTGAACCAACAGTCTCTGGACCCAACCGGTTCCCTCTCTCAGAACTAAGCCTGGACCTCTTCAAGGTATCCACTGAAACATCTGAAAACTCATTAAACTCATCTGCAAACCAAGCTAACCAACTATCCGTCTCTGCAGACGCCTGAGAATCCTGCCCGGACCAGAACCTGAATCTAGTTCATGTCGTTGTGTGAAACCTTTAATAAACTCTGTTAAATATTTTACCAAGTCTCCAGTGGTGTTCTGCATGTGGGTTTTATCTCTAAACCGATCATGACAATATCACAATTTGGTTGGAGGCTTTTGTGAGAACCCAAATGCAGAGGCTGAGAAGCAGGGGTGAGTTCTTTGAAGATTTAATGAATGATCACAGGCAGCAAAAACAGGAATACAAAAAAATCCAACTTAAAAATGTTAAACAAAACAGGAATCCAAAAATCCAACATAAAAATTAAACACAAACCAAAACCATGGGGACATCAGGGGAAAACAATCATGAGGAGACAGGGTTAGACGAGGGACTGCACAGGGAGTGTATTTATAGCTGACAAAGGCAGGACTAACAAGCTGATAAGGAGCAGGTGTGAGTAGAGATGACGAGGAATTCAAGGGGAAAGAAAACACAAGGGGGCAACAGAGGACAAGCAAAGAAAAACTAAAAACTTAGAGAAAAGCAACCAAGAGCGTTAAAAAATAAGTACGTAAACAACTAAATGGATTTATCAGCCCTCTCCCCACATATTTTCCTGAATTTCTCTTCCGATTCTTTCATTGAGTAGTTATGTGCAAAATCAGGTACAGTACTTTAAAGACTAAAACACATTTTTAACAACTGAATAACATAACTGAAAAATAACAAATCCAGGCATGAGCCCCACAAGGCCAAACAGTTCAAAAGGGAAAAGTCAACTGTAGTAAACTGTACTATAATAAAATAAACTACAATCTGCTTTAAATTGCAAAAACTACCACTTTTAAAGTATAATTGTTTTAGGTTGTTTGGTTTAATCACTTAAGTTCAACTGTATGCAACAGACTTCAAAATAGAATCAGTTATTCTCTTTTTAAAAATCTCTCTAAATTGCTAATTTTTCAGTTTATTTCCACCATGCCCTCTTGCCATTACACCAAGCCCGATCTACAACTTTGAGGTAGCGAGTCCTGTTTTAGCAAACTATCTGCAAACCATGACACCTGTTTATCTGTTTATCGGAATAGTTCAGTTTTCGACTAGTCTCTCCAAAAAACATCACTGGAGCAAACTTGGTCAGTGCCCACATTCCCTTTGCTTTACTGTGTGTTTATCTAAGAGAGCAAAGGTTTCCTCCTTGCAGAAACAGCAGTAGCATGCAATACTCTTATATTTATTGTAAAATCCATCAAATCAGATACAGTGCTTTGTCTTGGCTTGTATCTTAGATAACCTTTGTAAATAAATAGATCATGTTTTATCTTTGCTTTCTTGATATGATTTCCAGTGTTCTGTACTCCTCATGTTCAGTTGCTAAAACCTGGAGCTTAAACAACAAGCAGAGATTGAGCTCCAGGGATTTTCTAATCCCCTGCAATGACTAAGTTTGGCATTTAAAACATCAAGTGGTAGCAAATGTGAACAGAACTTGAGACTTCAAAATCCCAGGGATTTTTGTCAGTTAGTAATTTTTTCACCACAAACTATGCAAATTAGAAGTTTGTGGCTCCCTAAGGATCAGTGTAGCAGGGGGTCCTTCAGTGTGGCCCAAAGGAATGGGTTAGATACGTTGCATTAAAGTAGAGGAGGGTTAAACATGTGCTGTCTCAAAATAATATGCTGGTGAAGATTCTCACTCATCCAGGTCATAGTCATTCCAAAAAAAGTTAAAACACAATCCACATTTGAAGACGTTTCGCTTCCCATACAGGAAACTTTTTCAATTTGAAATGTCAGAATTAGCGTTAAGTTTGAAGCTTTTGTATAACAGCCCAAAAACTTAATTTGCCTTAGAAAACATGCAAATTGAACCAGAAGGACAGGTTCACCCCTTAGGCATGGGGGGGGGGGGGGTCGTTTTGATTTATTTGTTAGCCTGCAATCGCGATACTGGTCTATGCATCTGAAAGGAGGTCATTAGGGGTAATGGCTGCCCAGGCAAAATGTTTTGTCCCCTGCATGGGGTTGGGGGGTTGAAATGATAACGAAAAGGAATCTCAAAATAACTCAAAAAGTCTCAAAATAACCAAAGCTTCTTATTTACACCCCTTCAACCATTGTTAATCCTTTCAATGAAAGGCAGGAGTTCCGGCTGTGAAGAGCATCAAGCAATGTAATGCCAACCACCCCGGGTTACTTGTGCAAAGCATTTTTATTATTACCAACCAATTAGTTAGGCAATCTAGTTAGGCAACAAGTAATTTCTTAAACATTTTAGAAATTTGAGAGAGTAAAAATACATGTTAATTATTTGGCGAAATAATGTTTTGTTACTATATTTATAAACTATAATAACTTTAGATTTAAAAAATTATTTAAATGGCTAATTTATAACCTGAATATTTTATTTAAATAATATTATATTTCCTTCTAAATAGCCAGATAATCCCTTGTATAGCCTTTGACAATAGATATTTATTTTTCGGCCACATCTATGCTGTTGATATGCTTCTTAATAGTGTTGTTACAATCAGCCTTTGCTTTGTGGATATTTGCTTCAATGTTTTAGCTTACATTTATCAAAACATGGAATTTTTATTTTGTTTTTTAAGAATTATTACTAACAAAATATTAATATGGAAACCTCATCGCATTTTCATCTCATTGCTTATAATTTCTAATTGAGCCTGGAAATGATTAATCTTTCTACCTATTAGTGTCTCTCACCTGTTATGATGTTTTACTTATTCTTAAAATCAAAACTAACCTATTAATTCATTTCTTGTATTTCTCTTTGGCTTCTTTGGTTATTAATTTTCTTTAGGGTTTTTTTTATTTTGTATTTTTTTTTTATTGCAGGCTTGTTTTAATCCTGTTGTCATCCATGGTTAAAAAATGTGTTTTGGCAAAAAACATGTTGGGATTTTGTCATAGACTTTACAGTATTACCATGAATGAGTCACATGCTTTGTTTACATCATAAACATATATTATATCCTAATCTTGTTTCCTCAAATCATTTTAAGGAGTACTGAGGAAGATACTAATATTAAAGAAAGAAGGTGGCCTTAGGTTTTGCTTACAGTCTAACATTGACTGCCCCGTGCATCCCAGGGAGTTTCACAACGATTACCAACATAAAGCGACTGACACACTTCACACATTGTCGCTACAAGAACACATGTCACAAATCAGGCTTTGTCTCAGGCAACCATACAATCTTGAGCACATCCACCCAGAAACATCTTTATTTTCTCTAAGAAAACACAGAAGTTTGTTTGCAAATCTGCAAAAATCCAGTCTGGTCAGCCACTATTAAGTCTATTTATTGTTTGTAATTCAATGTAAAACAGTAATGAGCTACTCAACTCAAGCACTGTCCTTTTAAACAAAAATTGAGAGTAAAACTAAAAAACATGATGCACATATCTGTACAGATAAAATGTTGAGGATTTTTGTTGATGCATAAGAAGAAAACAAAGGGGCCTGTATTCATAAAAGAATCCTATGACCAGAAGTTATTCCTGTTGACATTAAGATATTTCTTGGAATTAGATAAAAGTTATTCAAGAAGCACCTCAGGCCTATAGAGTTCCTAAAGTGAAAAACTGTTAAGAATAGGGAGGAAAACTTTTGATGAGCCTAACAGTGTCTTAAGCAGAAAAGATGGAGAGATGAGCAAGAAAGGAGAGACATTCTCTATACAATAAAAACTGGGAATCAGCAAACTTTTATCCGCTTAGGCTGCAAAGATCATGTTTGATCTTAAATGAGCCTACTCTTACCTGATGTAGTGGAAGTAAAAAAAAAAAGCACATAATCTACAGAAAGAGAGATTTATCATCCTAATAGGAGGAAATTTAAAAGTATACTACAGAAGAATTGGAATATTATCTACATGCTGAAATTATTTGAAAAAAAAACTAAGATGTTCTTAGAAAGTTAAAATAAGTAGAAATATAAATACACAATTTAGACAAGACATCGTATAAAAATATAAAAACTACACACAATGAACAAAATGTGAATGAGGTGAAGTATTTGCTGGTGATATCAGTATATCCTCTAAATCAGTGTTTCCCAACCTTTTTTGACTTGTTTACCCCTTTGTGCATTTTGTCTTACTGTCCAAAAGTGGACCATACAATAACTAATTGTAAAATAAAAATAAAAAAAGTATTTTATTTAATCTTTTTAACTGGAGAGTTTAATTCTTTGGCATGTCATTCTTTCCAACTGAAAAAAAAACAACAAAAAAATACCATAAATATCTTTCCTGGAAGTTAGTAAGGAGTCAAAATTATACTAAAAATCTGCATTTATAAAACTGTAGATCTTCTGAGTAACTCCCCTGTAATCACGTTTAAACTTGAGGAATTGGGAACACAATACCGAACAAAAATTATAGTTAGACTGACTGCATTTGTTGTACTTTGTTTTCATCTTTTATTACACCTAATCTTGCTTTGATCAGGTGAGGGAAAACAGCTAATCCCAGCCTCTTCTCTACTCCAGTCTGTTCCTCTGCCTGGTTTAGAAGTGTGTCACAGCTGAAGGTGAACTCAAACATATGACTTACTTTTTGGTTGAAAAAAAAGCTTGTTTTATTTTCTAGTTGGGTCCTCACAAATCAGCCCTATTTTATTGTATTACATGAGAAATGAAATATTTTCATGTACCCCTTGTAACACACTCACGGTCCACTAGGGGTACAAGTACCCCCTGTTGGGAATCACTGCTCTAAATGGTCATTTACTTTGCTTTTATGCAGCCCTGTCCTGCCTAGCTTCTGTCTGCAGCATATACTAGTCCTATATTTCAACGGTCCTCCACATGGACTTATTCTCAGCGATCTGTTTGCTAAATGAGTTGTTGAGCTGGCTGTGGCTGTTTGGGGATCACTGGCAGAGCTAAATTATCACTGTACCCCACATTAGCCTATACATTTAATTCTAGTCAGAGTGTTTCTTTTATCAATATCTGTAAAAGTTTGTCAAAGTCCTCTTTGGTGAAGAGACGCCTCTTGTACTGATTGGCTGGACTGGACTCTTTCTTCTTTCAAGTTTAAGTAAAAAAAAAATCCCTTGGAAAAAAATACAAATAATTGAAGTCATTGAGAGTCAATGGTACAAAGTGGGTTTAGTATAACTTTCTGTATTTTGCCTAGAGATTAAAAGTTAAGAGTGAAGGTCTGCAGGTAGGATGGGAGGAAAGCTTCAGAGCAGGCAGTGAGTCAGAAGTTAAGAATTGTTAAGGACTGTATTTACATAAGCAAATGTTATTTTTCCTTACAATTTATATATTAAGATGTATCTAATCATACATTCGGTTTAAGCTTTAGCTAGAAGTATAGCATACAGTTTTACAACCAAAGGCAGATACATTTAGCAGTTTCAGTCTCTTAATTTTACTTTAGTAAGACTCATAAGAGGAATGCACAATGCTCTATGTAGATACAGGAGATTTTATTTACTATTTTTGTGTACAAACATAGGCTGCAAATGCCTCTCAAACATGTTTTACCCTCAGAATACAGTAATCCTTTTTACAGTTCTACAAGCAGAACATTGAATAGTTAACAGGAAGAAAAAGAAAGTGACATAGTTGGTCGACAATTCTCATCCTTGAGAGTAACTTTATGTTCTCAACATAAAAAAAGTAGGCAGATTTATTGGTGGCATGACTTCAGAGAAGTGGCAGCAGAAGGTTTGTTATATTACCTATAATATGGCAATACACAACAGGGTTCCTGTACAATAAATGCACATTTAAAGCAATATGCACCATACCTTCAGGAAAGCCCACAAAAAAAATAATATTTTTTTTTTTTTTGGCTGGGGCTGAATTTGTGGCGAGAACATGCAGTTACAGCAACAAACGGAGCAAAACAATACAGATTTAGAGTTTTATTAGACTCTCCTCTACCGCAAAACTGACAGGTTGGATTTGCAAAAAGGTTAAAAGTGTACCAGTTTGCTGCTTAATGATCCAGTGAATTGCACAATAAATAAAAGGGAAACCAAGGTATGTATTTTCTAGTATAATACATATTTTACAGTCCATGGAAAATCTGAGTTACCTGAACCTGCATCATCTATTCGGTTGTACACGTCAGAGAGCAAAACAATCACAGTGGCCAGTCTGCTGCTCGAAAAATATTGATACGCCGGGCTGACAGTGCAGAAACTCAGTTGAAAGATACCTTGGAAAAATATTTGTACCTTTTTCTTTACATTTTTTTCACATTAAAACCTCAAATCGTGTTGTATGTGATACACCAACAAAAAGAAGAGCTCACCTATCAAAAGGAAGGGAAAATTATGTTTTTTTCTTCGGGCAGTAACTTCAGTCACCTGACATACAAAGCTGGTTTTCATACTCCAAAAAGCTTGAAGCTGTACCTGCCCTAAAATGATGTCTTTCAAATACAAATATGCATATAACATTTTTTTTTATCAGAGTTTTGTTTTAACCTTTTTTTGAAAACCATTAATCTTCATTCTTTCCCTTTATAAATATGCACAACTTTGTGTTGGTGTTTCACATATAACTCCAATAAAATGAATTCATTTTGCAGTTCATACATCATAAAATGTTTGGACTGCATTCAAAGGATGCAAATATTTTTGCGAGACACTGTATACAGAGCTACTTAGTGGTTCTTAGAGTGAGACAAACTGGCAACAAAATGCTTTAAACACAGCAGAAGAGGCAGGTAATTAGAAAAAAAACACATTATATTAAGACATGTTTCTTACATTATCTTGACATTTTAATATAAATTAAAAGATAAAGAACTTTCTCATACCAAACTAGAAGGAATCATAAATAAATTAGCATAAAAAGGCATTACAAGAGATAAAACTGCGTGGCCCTTAGAAGACCAAATTTAGCAGAGAGTTTAAATCACTTACAGCATCAGAGGTCGATGAAGGAATGCTCATGTATAGGATGAGCTAAGACCATGCTTGTACTTTAAGGTCCTGTCTTAGCCTATAAGAAAAAAGATGAAAGATGTGTGGCTGTCCTCAGCAAAGGCAACAGGAGGATGAAAGTTTTTTTTTTTTTTTTTTTTTTTTTACCACCAGCATTTCAAGCTGGCATTGAAAGTAAAATTTCGGTGGTAAACAAAAGCAGGTGTTGAGGCACAAAAAGGTTGGATAAGTACAGGCAGCTGGGACTCAGTTTGATGGAGAAACACGACTGAATGATCATTTTTAAAAAGGAGCAAAGGGCATGCTACTGTGAGAGGAAAAAAGAGTGAAATTATATAGTGGCTGGAAGCAAGTATAAAAGAAAAAAAAATGATTTTACTATTCAAATCAACTGAGTTCTTGCTTCCCTTTTAACGTAGTTTCTTATACACCAGTCAACCACAACAGGAAAAACCACAACACCTTAAATCTACCCATTTTATTTCGCAGTAATAAATTGTGCTAGATATTTTTTGGTGCTCTACAACATATTTGGGTGTTTAACTGCAGGGATGATAAAGCTTTTCTATTTTAAAATATTTCCATAAATCTATTTCTTGCATTTGCAGTTAATTTGTGCTTTGAGTGATACAAAAAACAACAAAAAAATTTTCATCTGAGGCACATCTGCCCAAGCTATTTTTGAAATGGTATTCCTACCTGTTTTTGTGTGATTTAAGCAGGCAGGGATCGATAGGAAATTCTCATAGTATTAGAACCTTGATTAATAATAATAACATCTTACAGCATTACGGTATTTATACAAACATTTAAAACCCAATTCTCTAGCCTAATCTAATTACTTTTCTTTATCTAATTACTTTTATATCGAGCAAGAAGGCAACAACTGGGCAAGCTTCTGCTAAAATAGTGTAGAATATTGATTGCAAATTCTTATATGTTATCTACAACATTTATTATTTGGAAACATTTCCTGTTTTCAAGTAAAAAGTGTAGAACACACGCCACCTAAACTTGGGAGAGGTTTTCAAGTGCATAAGATGTTTGAAGTGCATAATTACTGAGCAGACAATCACATCTTTTAGCCATTAATCAGATACAATAAGTGAATATAGAATAGTTAGTCAGGCTATCTGCTCTGGTAACCAGCCTACAGTTGGCTGGTTACTGAATCATATTCTTCGTAACTGTACTTTTTAAACAGTTTTACTATTAAATCAGTGATGAACAACACTGTGTTTAGTAATGCAACTGATTGTCAGAGTGTGTTCGAACTGGAAATAATTCCAGCTGGTGATATTTTTTTTAAATTCTGAGTAGGAGAAAAGTGAAGTAAGCTTCTTTCAGCAATAAAACCGGTGGGAAAGGAGCAGTGCTCAAATACTAAAAGCTTTACAGCTTTAAAGTAAACTCCCAAATTTGCAGCACCTTTGCTTGCCTCTGACTGAAAATACAAGGTATGTTTCTGTTTTTTTAGTTTTGAAATGTCAGTTTAAAACCTGAACACTGAAAAGCCAGCAACTTCATTGTTCTCAGCATTTTAGAAACCAGGGGACTGAGGATGGACACGATAACACAAAGGCGCTCAGTGCTATTTGCACTTGTTACAGACATTAAGTGTGAGAATTATTTGTTTTAGCTTTTTTTCCAAGGAAAAAATAATTTTTTTTTTAAGATTTAACAAAAAAACAAGGATTATCAAAGCTGAAGGAAAAAACCCCGATACCAAACATTTCCCAATGTCCTATATTAGCTTCAAGGAGGGTAAAAATTAGTTCTGGATTTCAATATTGTGGCTGATTGGTGTAAATTGAAACCTGATCACACATTGTGCTTCCTCTGGCCACACAAATATATGTTTTATTAAGTTAAAAACAAACAAACAAAAGAAAAAAAAAACTGACAAAATCTCAGATGAAGTTTGAACACAAAGTCATCCCCAAAAAAAGAATTTAAAACATAATAGAAATTATAAAACATGCCTGCATGTTATATCAGAATCAGAGCAATTAAAAGCAAGGCCATCTTTTGGGAAATTTTACAATATTTAGGCGGAAAATAAAAAGGGCAAAAAGTAGCTGATGTGCTCTTTATGAGTGCTGTTCTGTTGCCACAGATTAAATGGTACAAACAGACACAATGTCTTATTAGAGCGGGGACAGACGTCTCTAGAGATTTGACAAATATAAGGAACGCCCTGCAGTTAAATTTGCTTGTTCTTTTTCCACAGGGGAATAACAGATTAGACTGTAATGCTTCATAGTAAAAATAAAGATATTTTGATGGAGAATTAACAGGTGAATATTATTAGAAACAAGGCTAAAATCTTGCTCATTTACAGAAAGGCTTGACGTAAATGCTAAAGGTACTATTTTCATAAAGAAAAAGACTGTGTTTCCCCGCCAGTCAACCCAAAAATAAATTATAGTAAAGAATTTATAACAAAATTACAACTTTAAGATTACAAACATCTACATGCCTCATTTTCTCTGCTAAATACAACAAAAACCGATTTGGCAAGATGTACTATGTTACAACAGGACGGACATTTCAACAATTCCTACGTAAGAAATATATTGCTTCCTGTGCATTTAAACTGGAGACTAATTTAAGAAAAAAAAACGAGACAAGAAAAACAAGTCTGCTTTTTTAGTACAAAAAAAAAGCATTAGATTACAACTATCTTTTATTATTAAATACCTATTTTCAAGTCATAGCTTTCCACTCCAGCCAGGTTTGTTTACGCTGTAAACACAATCACAGGTGTTGGCTTCCTGTGCCTTCCAAAAAAAAGGTTGATAAAAAGGCCAAAAAATGTCTCATCTATATCAAAATAATGTGTAACTTTTAAATAAGACGTGGTAAGAGCCTGGACGTGGAAAACAATTTGTGATTGTCCAAAATAAATGAAAACTTGAGGTATAATGCTGCAAAGAAAAGGTACGTGAAATCCAGAAAGATGTGTTGAACTTTAACATGTCTGCATTTATGAGACGAGAAAAACCCAAAATGTGACAGAGGCAGATCGTCTGCTGAATGACTACAGCTACCAAACTTACTAACTACTGGGTAATGATGTGTATAATCACGAACTCAAATCCTCTGAGGAGAAGAGATTATTGGCGCCCTCTTGTGTTCTGCAGAGACAATCCTTCCAAGTCAATTTAAAAACACACTACTGTAGGCTCACTTTGAGCCAGTGTCCATCCCCATTTCACACCTCTGCCGGTCATAGTCCAGAGCAGACAGAGTCGGAGTAAACTCTACACTTCAGTGGAGAAGAGGATGCTTTGTCGTTTACTGTCTGGGGTGGGAATGGTTTCCAGCTGCAGGAAATACAGCAAGACCTGGACCTGAAAGCACAACAGATAAGAGCTGTAAGTTAGAAACTAGGATGTGACATAATAAAATAAGAACGATTATTTTTATTTGGCCTACTTCCTTGATTAAAGTCATCAAATTATGTTTATGAGATAAAATATAAGTAGTATTATTTAATTTATTGGGAATGATAGAATTTTTTATGCTCCTTGACTTATTGTCTTTATTGGTATTTTTTCTGAAATAATGTTAGTCTATCCAAATATTCTGGCTTTGATTAAATTTGTTTCAATATAAATTAATTTGAAATATCTTATTGACTCCAAAGGGAAATTAAAAGCTGATATTCTTCAAAGATTTATTTTTTCTTATAGATGTTAATACCCACATCAGTCAACAGAATAGTGATCCCTAAAATGTTTTAGGGGAAAAATGGGAAATGTGCCTTTGTGTTCTGGCTCTCTTTAGATCAGGACATGATTTGCTGCTTTTGAGTTATTCTAGCCTACTTCATGTCGTCCTGCAGGTTCTATTTAGATCATAAATAGATCAAATAATCTATAATGAAAATGAACAAAATTCTTAATTTAAAAAACAAGAATTTTATCAGTCAAACAGGAACAATTTCAGTATAAAGCCTTTTTTTTTCTCTTAATAAATGAATATTTAAATACTGCCCTTTCCATTTATTCAGCTTCTTTTTGTCTTATTTTGAATTAGCTTAAGAACTAAACTTTGACCCATCCTAAGGAAAAATTAAAAACAGCAGGAATCTGTAGGGGGTACATGTTTCCACAGCAATTTAATTTAAACTCCACATTAGCTGTTCAACTAGCAGACAGAGGACTGAGTGAAGCTGGGTTTAGCTCACTTGTGCCATAACTTCCAGGGACCAGCTGTCCCCCATGCTAATGGGCTGAGTGGGGTTAGAGGGGATCTTGCTGTCCTTCTCCGCCGGCCTGAGCAGGGTGGGACCAAACACGGTTGCCAGATTGTGCAGAGACATCTTGTTGACACTTTCCTTCTCTGCCACCCTGGGAAGAGGACAACAAACAAGTGCTATTGGTGCCAAGGATCTCAGATGGTGGCACAGTGTTGTTTATGGGGGAAATCTTGTTCCCAACTGCTTAAAAGGTCTAATCACTAGTCAAAAAGAAGAATTGTTAGGGTATTTGGTTTATGCTTTAAACAGAGATTCTTCAAACAGAAATTTAAAATGAGAACTGCAGTAGAGTTTTGAGAACTTATAAACTGAAGCAGAAACGGGTGAACCTAAAACCTGATGGTCTAATGCAGAGGAATAAAACTCAAATACATACTGGGCTTAGATTAACAACCTGGATGAGGTCGTGCGAAAGTCTTAATAGCGGAAAATATTTTTACTGCTTTGGAGATGTGAAAATATATCTTTTCATATTGACACAAACTTAAGTTTCTCTTAAAATGAAATATATTCTAAAATAAAATACAGATCTGTTGATTATTTTTTAAATTATCGGATTAATAATAGGATAACAAAAGGTTCCCTAAAGAACCTTTTTGTTAGAATTTAAACCAGGTGAAACTAAAATTATTCCACTTGAAGTGTTTTCTAATGCTAAATGCTGGTAATGACCTCAAACCAAACTTTAAAGTCTTAGCTAGAAGTTGCAATCCGGTGGAACACACTAAATGATATGCCAAGAGCCGAGCTGACAAACAATACTACAAATAAAATAAATATAATGCTAGCAAATAAGCTTTTACATATTTGTGTGCTAAAATACAGAGATAAGATGTTCACCACGGAACTCATTTTACGTTCTATGATAATAAAAATCTTTACCTTTTTCTAAATGCTACTAGAATTTTAACAGTTTTTTTCACCTGAAGAGGCTAAAGCTGGGCTTTTCAGCAACAAACACCACAGGCTGACTCGTGTCAATCACCTCATTAACACGGCTAAATATGGCAAGGGTTTGTGATGCTGTGGCCCTGTTTTGTTCAGTAAAATCTTTGGGAATCTAATTTAGCATGGAATCATAATGCTTTTGAGTACATAGAAAAAAAAAGCATCATCACATGAATTCAAAATACAAAAATAAAAAAAACTAAATAATAGCAGCAGGAATCTGTAATCTGAAATCAATGCACATGGCTTATTTAGTGTCTTGTCTTTCCCATGCAGTTTGTGTCCAAATATAACATTGGTATGTGTTGAGTTACGACATCATTACCTCTTGAGGTGATCGAGAAGGAAAAGGAATGTGACCAGGTTTGGTTCTGGCAGTGAAAGCAGCAAATTCAGCATACAGCTCTCTTTGGCAACACTATCGGTGAGGGCTGCAGAGAAGCAAAGGAAGACAATAAAACAGCTCACATGATTAAAAAAAAAAAACAATACTTGAAAACTCTCTTCAAACAGCTCATTTTGACGATCAGAGTTATTTAACTTACTGATGCCACCTGCAAAGTTAGGGTAGAGCTCATCGGTGAAGAGGGGCTCAGGTAGTTCTCTGAAATATAACTTTAGGGTCCCGGCGATGGCATTAACGTCCATCTCGCTCATCATCACAGACACATCTTTATTATCTGCAAGAGAAAAATAATAAATCGTAAAAGTGAGAGGAAATTCAAGGTAGTCACCTGCTTAATATCTAACTCTGGACAAAAATGGTGAGAAATAAATACAAAGAAAATATTTGATTTAGCATGTGCAATAGGGATATTTTAGCTGATCATAATTCTCTCATAATTTTAAATACAGATTTAAAGAAAACTAATAAAATGTCTCCTTGCTGTATGGCATTTCATTTTCAATCTAAGCAGCATGTGGATTAATACAGGACTTACTTGTGTCAAAGGCAGTTTTCAAAGCCTGAATATCAGTGGCTACTCCTGATACACGATATATTCCCACCTCCTCCATGCCTCGCCTCTCTATCTCTTCTAGGCACTGACGGACGATATAGGGCACCTTGGAGCGTTCCCGTCTGGAACAGCACAACAACAAACATGGAGGATGAAGAAAAACTAATTTTATCTGTTTATATCAATATTTTTTTCATTTCAAAGTTAAGTATTTTTGCAGACTTATCGGACATCTCAGTCCCATCTCATGCATGGATCGAAATGGAAATATTGTGGATTTCAGTAAAAATTTCCTTTAAGGTCAGTTTATAACTCAAGGTGATGAAAAGTTTTCTATGTAAGAAAATCCAGTTGCACCAATTTTAAACTAAACTAACATATACAGTCATTGTTTACACAATCTTCTTAACATAAGAAATCCATCAGAGAGAGCAATCATAGGGTAACAGTGGAAAGAAGCTTTTCTCTTCAACAAAAAAGATTTCATTTATGTGCAGATTGTTATACTGAAAAATCTCTTTACTACTTAATCAATCAATTAAATGACTATCAATATTGACTTAACATTTAAATAAACGGCTATGAATTAGCATAACATTACAAAAAGTAATTTTTGGGGATTTTTGTATAAGCCTAAAATGGAAAAAATGACTGATACTTATTTAATTTTACAAGATCTAATCTGCTTTTCATATTATTGTCCTATACAAGGAGTCACTGGCTTCACTTTGAGATTAAGCCGCACTCCAGATCAAGCTGTTGGCCTAAACCAATCAGTGTGGAGTAAAATAAAAGACGTAACAGTGACCCAGTAGGGTTACACAGTAATATGAAGTGTTACAGTGGTTACGCTGAAGGAGTTTGCCCTGCAGCCGGAGGGTTGGCGGTTCAAGCCCAGACTTTCAGTGCCGTTGGGAAAGACACTTAACCCCCATTTCTTACTGATGGTGGTCAGAGGACCCGGTGATGCCAGTGTACAATGTAGCTTGCCACCATTAGTGTGTTTGTGGAAATGACTGAATGTAGAGTAAAGCTCTTTGGTCAAGTCCTCTGACTTGAAAAAGCGCTTTAAAAGTACAGGCCATTTACCATTTTTACCATTACTGACAAAACTAGCACTGGATTTACAGAAACATAAAGGTCTTAAAATGAGCTCTGAGGACAAATACCAAACTATAGTACTGTTGCTTGAGGTCATGCAGCCCAATTGGCTGCTTTCTATGCATTTATTCAAGGTTTTCTTTATTCTAATGTCAACTCACTTGGTCACTGTGGAGATTTTTACTCCAAACACACCCAAGGGTTTCTCTGAGGGCATCCTCTTCAGGCTGAACTCTCTGCTGGTGAACTTTATAGACAGTTTCACTTCAATCTGGAATGGAAAAAAGTTCACACAAGTTTAGAAGTAAGAATCAGCCATTAAGGTCATAAATTCATTTATAAAAGCTTTCCCAGATCTAATATAGCAGTGTTTTACAGAGTAAGATAAAAAAAAAATCAAAACATAATTAGATTTAAAGGAAATGCATTAAATGAAAGCAAAAAACCAGATACACTCACCCCATTCATGGGAATGACTGTTCTCTGCCAGTCTTTGCCTTGAAGAGTCTGAGGGTCGAGCTGAGATGAACAATTAAAAGTTTTAATACCAGATCAAGTTATAATTGAATTGTAAAATGTGCATATTTATTAGAATTTCTCAAATACTCAAGCTTTGGAAAAATAGAACTATCTAAATCTTTTTTTATATAAATTCAGCTTAAACCTGCCTTAATGTTGTAGGTTTAAACTTTTTTTCTTCTGTCCACATGAAATAAAAAGAGGAGTGCATAATGCTATGATCATGTATCAACAGCAAGGCTTTATCCTCTCCAGCAGACAAGCTTCAGGGATGATGCTGATATCCTGCTTTTACTACATTTTCCAGATATGAGATTAACTAATATGATTTATTTGCAGTGACTAAACCAACAACCCAACACACAGAGAACTGAGAGGCCATCTGGAACAATACACACTGTTGCAACAGACATGATGCAGCGTATGAAAAGAGACACCGAATACTGTATGTTGATGTAGCCTGAGCCCCTTCTGGTTGCATGCAATGTTGGATCTCGTTTCACATAAATGAATTTTGTGTAGCTGAGAGTGTCTTTTGTTTGAGCAATTTAATTATGAAGAATTACATTTCATTTAAAAGAGAGAGGCTTTTTCTTTCAAACTGTTTTATGGTTTGAGTTTCAATTTCCTGCAGCAAAAAGACACTTTTTGTTCTATGGCATTTAGCAGACTTACATGTAGTATTTGCAAAACTGATTATTTAAAAAAAAAAATAATAATAATAATTATATATATAACCTGAAAAAACATTTTTCTGCAAAAATACACACAATATATAAAGTAAATAAATATTTAAGGGATGAATGACAAAATTTTCATCTGCACCCTGCACAAAATAAAAGGCTTTCTGTTGTTTTCCCCTGGTTTCTTAGCTGCAAACAAAGAGAGATGCACATAAAGAAATAAATTACAAATAAAACTAAATCAGTGTCCACCAACTAAAAGATAAATCCTTTTCTCCTTAGTGAGATTACTGAAAATCTTGTTAAATATAATTTTTATCTATCTGGCAGCTGGTTTTCAATGACATCATCCCATTAAGAGAGGTTGAAGCTTCAGAATAACAATAACAAACAAGACCACTAGAGGGAGTATACTGTATGTCTAGGTTTGTCAGACAACAAGGAAGCAGACTTTTTTGCTGCAGTTTGACAAAACCAAATAACATCCAGACAGCTCAGATTAGAACTGTTAACTAATTAACTAGTTAACTAATTAACCAAAACAAGCTCTGGGTTTGGTTATTTATTTATATATTTTCCGGAAGAATTATATTTATCTTTTTTATCTTTCTTTTAGCTAATTTGCAGTGATGTCTCAAGGCTGCCGCTCACTTGGCAGCCTCATCGCTGACACTCTAAATCTGCCTTCAGTGTCAGAGTAACGTCAGTCGTCTGGTTTTCTGACAGCTAATCCTGCCAGAGCAACAATAGATAAGAGGTAGAAAATGGCAGCTTTTTGTCTGCGTGTCAAAAAAATCCCTCCCTCAAAGTAAACGAGAGCTTAACTGACAGACACATCTGTTATTTGCCATTCAGGTATGAGGACCTATTACCGTAACAGCCTAATAATTGTCTTTCTAAATCATGCATAGCTGTCAAATCAATGTGCATTTCATGCTTAGCGGCTGTAGAGATGACATAAGTCCAAATCGATACTGAGTCATGGTGAGTCTACTGATCACAATGGGATAGGGGGTGATGTCATGTCATACCAGGATCTGTCCTTTCCCAATGATGCGGTCTGTGCTGTCTCCGTCTTCTTTGTTCAGCTTGGTCCTGTTATAGCTCTTCTCGTAACAGAGCAACCTCAGGGTCTGAGAGCCCTCCAGCTCGATCTCAAACTCCTTGAAGCAAAAGAACAGATTTATTTTGTTTTGCATGAAAGAGTAAAAAAATTAGACAATTATAGATTATCCAGCTGATCATAATTCCTTGCTATTATGTAAGGCAATGCTCTACATACGGTTTGAACATTGTTATGAGATCCACACAGTGTCAGTTCATTTTGCTTTAGGACAGATGTGAGTCATCGCGTGCTGCAGATCCTCATTAGTTCATATTATTTCCATTTTGTTAAGCAGAATTCTAGCAGTTTTTTTTAAACATTTCTCCTTTCCAAGTTTGGTATTATGAGTGCTAAGTGCACTACTCTTGGTGTATATGCAGACTTTGCTCCATCTCTTCAGATTGTTTACTTCTATTGTATACCCTCCTGGGTGTCATTTTATGAGCTGCAGTTGCAGCCATTAAAAAGTAAAGATTAATCTTCCTCACAAATACAAAACAATCCAAGCACTTTGGTAGAAAAAAAAAAGAAATCAGGAAAGACAGAATGATGCAAATTGGTGGATTTGCTAGTCAGATTACATTTGGAAGCTAGTTATATATCCTGCATACACAATAAAATTTGAGAAAAACAAAGGAACTGTGTCACATACATGTCCAAACTTAGAAGTTAATATTTAGTTCAAATGTGTATTTTAACTCAACATGGACATATACATTTTCGTTTTAAAAGGAATATTTAAAAGTATTTTTTTTTTGTTTGTTTTTTTTGTTTTCAGTGAAACCATGATGAAGGCAGGTTAAATAGGGACAATTACCACTTCATGAAAGTGCCAGTTCCTCCCACTGGCCTCTATGATCTTGCATACCATTACAGATTTTTATTTATCACCCCTGATCTGGAGAATGAGATGGTCATGAAAAAAAGTTTTTTTTATAACTTTAGCTAATATGTTTTTTTTTGTTGGTTTATCCATATTTTGTGTCATTACTATGTAATAAGAATCCCCAAGTTAAATCTTTTAGGGGAAAATCTTTTCGGTAGAGAAAAAGGCTCAAAGCATCATATTTACACCACTCTGCCTAGCAGTGGGCATGTTCTTCATTTCCACATATTCCTGTTTTGTTTTACACCAGATACACACATTGTGTTTTTTGTTGTAAACCTCTATCATGTTGTCATGCAGTTCTCAGGCATTCCTCTTAGGTTGCTATTTAGTTAGTTGCTACAGAGACTTGATGACACCTGACCATAAACTGAAAGAATCCCCTCTTTGCTTCAGTTCTTCACCTTCAAACTTTAAAATATTTTAATCTCCTTTCCTTTCCTGTGCCTGGCATAAAGATAAACTTGGGTCCAGTCGTTTTTCGCTTGTTTCCGGTCCAAGTTATTACTTTGTGCTCTGACTGCAGACGTAGATAGGTGTAAGCAAGTTACTCATGAGGATCAGAGTGTTATTGCCTCGACTGAGTGTCATGTTCTCTTGTGTTTCTACATTGAAGAATGTTAAAAGTAGTTAATTAGATGCTACTTTTGGATTACCAAATAAAATGGAAACATTATGAATAACAAAAAATTTAAGGATGAATTGTTAAGTATGTGATTTTGATAAAGGGAATTGTTTCTTACATGGGATGTCTTTTCATTTATTAATAAATGTACTCAAACAATAACAGATGGATTCATTCTATGGCTTTTTATATAGCTTTTTTTTCTTTTTTGAGTTTTTACAGCACTAATGGTTTGTTTTTTCAACAGTAGGCTATCAGGAAACGTAATGAGAGAGGGGGAGAGACATGCGACAAAGGACCACAGGTTGGATTCAAACCCGGTTTGGCCGCATTGCACCATCAAAGCACACCCCTTTTATACCGGTTTAACAGGGGTTACAATAACTGAAGAGGTTGCTGTGTTCACCAGCTCCTAAGCATTAATAACTGTATGTTTTAGTGTGTTTTCTGTGTGTTTTTGTGGCCTGAAGATGCTCCTTTCTGTGGGCTTTGATGGACATATTTTTACTACCCAGAAACAGACAGCCAACTAAATAAAAGAGCAGATGCCAAACTTATGACAAGCCATAAACAGCGCACATGGAAGAAAAAAATGTTTTAAGTGGATATTGCTCTGTAAAGAGAAAAACAGATGGTTTTTCAGTATTAGGTTTTTTCCTAAAATTCTGTCATAGCAAAATGAACCCAGTAAGGATTAAGTGGTCATGGGTTTAATTTGCGCTAAAGTGAAGTGCTTTTGTATTTGTATTTTTTACCTCGTTCCACTTGGGTTCAGTGGTGTATCGGTAGACTCTCGTCTTTGCTTTATTCAAAAAGAAGCCAAATGTGTCCACCTCCAATGTGCAATAGAGATCTGACAGAGAGATGACAATAGCAGATGTAAAACAATAACATAAAACTACATATAAAATGATATTAATTTAATTTAATTGAAGCACAACATTAATGATGGGATTTCTTAGTTATTAGTGTTGCCTGATATTATTTTAAATACCCTAAATCTCAAACTGAGTGACTCACTTAAACTCTGTTTGAGGCCAGAGGCAGAATGGACGATTACATTCAGAAATCCATAGAGACCGGAGGAGTCATCCTCTGGAAAAACAGCAGAGAGAATGGAAAAGGACATCAGCGGGGGCAGATTAGAAAAGCATGCACTTCACTGTTTGTTCTGGAATTGATTCAGGTGGAGGGGAAGAGAAAGAGCAACAGTGGATTGAGAACATGTAGCCTTTGTAATCATTTCATTCTTGATGCACAAAAAAAAGAAAATGTATCTTTTATGCACAATAAAAAAGATTCTACCTTCTCTATTCAGACTAAGTGGAATGTTGTGAACAGTTTGGAGTTTGAGACAGGAGCTGGTCAACATTTGCAGCTCCATGGATGTCAGAGAGGGCGTTTTAACACCTGGAGGACAAAGAGGAAGTTTATATGAAAACCAGTGAATATAAAAACAAAAAAAGAGATATATTATGGGAATTAGGGAACAAATTAGGCTAAAAAAGAATATATTCACTGGAAGCATTTAATCAAACAATCATTGCACACTCTGATGTTGGTAGCAGGGAATGTTTTCCATTAATTGGATCAGACAAGACATGTCTGGAAGGACATCTCTGCAGCACTCACATTTCTGCTGCTGTTCCCTGATTATCTCCCTCCACTCTGAACGCTCATAGTCAGAAGAAATCAGGAAGCTGTAACTCTGAGAACACAAACACACACAGCGTTTACAAGAGAACGCCCAAAAATGGCAGATTTTTCCACTGTTTCCGAATGCATAAGACAACATAGTGGACTGGGAAAAATGATGTGCTTAAATGACTCAGATCAGACAGATTTTTATATATAAATAAATAAACTGAATTGAATATCAGCATAATAGGAAGTTAGTTTTAAAAAATTTGTATTTTAAATGACAGCTACATTCATTAAAGAAAATAATTACAGCTGAATACAGCCGGAATGATAGAAACATCAAACCACTGAAATAGCACCTGGGATGTAGGTCAAAATATGTAAAAATGTATTATGTCATGTAGGGCTCAAACAATCTGAGTAATGATTCATCGATTATTGAAATAATCTTCAACTATTATATAGTAGTCCATTGATTGTTAACTGGCTTATAGACTAAAACATGCCTTTAGCTGACAGAGCAACCCAATTAGAGCAGTAATTATATCAGAATTGTAAAAAAAATAATATGTAAACATTTTTCATTTAAGATAAAAAAAACATTCCTTCTGTCAATATGCTCTATCCAGAACTCCTGAAGTGGAAAAGTTTTTGTTTCACCTGGTTTAATTTCGTAAAAAGTCTTCTTTAAAGATTCTTTTAAAGAGGCTTCCGTCCTATTTTCAAAAGTTGAATTAATGTGCAAAATAATTGCTAGTTGCAGCCCGAATGTCATGTCTCAGTCTTAAGAAATTCAAAGCAGCCTGTTATTATAAAAGGAGAAAACATCCAAGCATGGAAAGACTTTTTGAGGACAGGCTGGGAACTATAAGGACACAACAACGGCTCATTCAGGAAGTCATCCAGGGCAACATTTAAACCACTGCTGACATCACTCATCAAGTAAGGTAATTGTTCATGAATAAACCATTAGGAAATGCAGCAAAAATGGCATACATGAAATACTGCTAACCAGAAAAAAAAATGTAAAAAGAAAGAAAACACAAGAATAAAAGTGAAAGTTATTAGACAGACTGAATATCCTTTCTTCTGATATAAAACTAGGAACATTTCAAAAAAATCACATCACACCACCTGTTAAACTGTAGCACACCAACTAGTCCACCTCTGAAGAGCTAAAAACATGAAGGTTTTGGGGCGACCTAGTCAAAGTCAATTCAGTCCAATTAATACACTGTGGCTTAAACAAGTTCAATCCTCTTGTTTTAGACCAGGGTGTAACAGTCAGTTATGTAGGTTCTGGGAGGAATATTCCTTAAAATGATGTCTAGCTCTGAATGGGGCAATATTTATAGAAAGAAAAGCAAGTTACTATAATGGTTGCATCATCACCTTTCCGTTCTTGTTGAACAGTCTGAGGGGCATGCTGGGAGATGTTAGCAGCATCAAAGACTCCTGTTCTGACAGTTTCTTTCGTAGTCGGTCGATCACTTTTGAACCCTTATTGGCTCTCTGAAATCCAATATTAAAAAGAATTAGGTACTTTATTGAAAATCAGGTTCTCAAGCCAAAAAACAAAAACAACCCTGAAACTTTCATCTCCTTTTGGAAATGTCCCCATGCATCTTACCTTCTCCCTCTGAATCTCACTACGGAGGTGTGAGATCTTGACCTTAACAGCATCGAGCTCTTCGTCCGGGACTTGGGGAATGGTGAGGGGCTCCGTCTCTTCAGGGCCTTGAAAGGTCAACTCGGTCAGGGGGATGTACCACTTACAGTCGTACTGTTGGTTTTTACTGCATTAGGATCAGGAAAAAGAAAACCAAGAAGTACAGGCAAGATTAAAGTATAAACGTGCAAAGCATGAGATCAATACAGAGAGATTACTGAAACAGATGACTGCCAGGGTGGATTTATTGGGCATTTAAAGAGGAAATTCTAGTTTTGTTCTGTTTTTGTGTGGATTTTTTGCAAGATTTTCCACAAAATAAACGCCATTTTAAAGGTATCCCTTGCTTAACGCATTCTTTTTATTTTCCACTGAATACGCTGCTTTTAATCATCAGTTTGTAATACTTTCTTCTTTTTTCTGTGAGTAGAAATCATATGTTTGTTTTATAGTTCTTATGTGTTCGTTCTCTTTCTAATACCTACAGAGAGCGAAGTCAGGTTAAAGCAGACTTTAACCTGACTTTATGACAGTTTGTAAAATGTCCTTCTTTTTTAAGCCTTAACAGTGACATGTCCACCTCCTGCTGAGGGTTTTTCACTTGGACATGTGACAAATGTTTTCTTTATCAGGCATCACTCTCGTCTACCACTTCACTATTTATTTTTGGAAATGTACTGAGCTGTTGCTCTGAAATCATCCTTCCTGCTTAGTTGTTTTATCCGAAATGTGACCTATCTGGAGATGATTTCACAGCAGCAACTACCAAATGCTTATCTGTGATAGAATAACGTCAACTTAAACAACTCCTAAGTCACTTTTCCAACTGTAACTTATATAATTTGGGCCAAAAAAGTCTAAAAAGCAGTAAATCTTTTTTCTCATATTTTTGTAGAGAAAAAGATTTTTTTTTTACCCTCCTATCTGCTTTTTCAGTTTGGCACAGAGAAGCAGATCGGTGAAGAGGAAGACGTGCCGCAGCTTCCTGGTTCCCTCCACCAGCTCCACCATGAAACTGTCCTTCAGCAGCTGGCGGTTCTATGGCAGAAAGAAACAACAGCTTTTAATTCAGATGGAATTTAAATGTGTTTCTTTTATTTGATCATTTTCAAATGTTTCAATGTGTTAAACCAACACCAACTTGAAATAATCTAAGTGAAATGATAGATACTTTTTATATTTACTTTTTTTTATGAAATAAAATCTGCTAAAGCACTTTTTGGAGAGGGCTATAGCTTCAGAGCTGAACTTTCAGGACCCAGAGCTGAACTTTCAGGACCCAGAGCTGCACTTTCAGGATGCAGAGCTGCACTTTCAGGACCCAGAGCTGCAGAGCCGCACTGTGAGGTCTCCTGTTAGAACTGTAAATTTATCGGAAGACTTAAAAAGTAAAAGCTAAGTTGATTCAGAGCCTTTCTAAAGTAAAAGCTAGTTATGATAAACTCCCCGTGAAGCTAGCTTCCTTTCTCAAACAAGTGTTGTTATGCTGGAAACTTATGTACATGTACAATTTTACTCCCAATCAAACTCCTATCTGGAATAATAGATATGTGCTACATGGAAATATTTGTCTTTGGATCCCTGGATGGAAAAGGGCATTTGGTCTATAAGATATTTTCTAAATGACAATGGAGGTTGGCTGTCCTGAGAGGATTTTTGCTTACTGTACAATTTAAATTGCTCTTACGCTAAACTCTAATCCAGCAGCAAACACGTGCTGTGCGCCATTCCCAAAGGATTTGAATACAAGTTTTGCAGTTGCATTTTGCAGGTCTGCAACGAAGAGTCCTGACAGTGCAGGTCTGGGTCCTGACAGTGCAGGACTGCAGCTAGACTCTCTTGCTTTTTTGAGGAGTTAAAAGTATTTTAAATGTATCATTTCTTGCCATTGCAGCTTAAACTGCATCTTAGCAAGATTTTTACAACTTTTTTACACCATTTGTTTTTGCACTACAGCTAAGGTCAGTCAAATTGGATAGAGAAGGTTTCTAAGCATATATTTCCACATCTGATTCTCAATTAAATTTATGTCTAAACCTTGTCTTTGGCCACTCTCATTAAAACATCACAGATATGATTGCATGTATGGGATTGTTAATCTGAAATCGTGTTCGGTCACTAATACGATTTCTTCTTTTTGAGATCCTGACCAACAGCTGTCGTGTCAAAGTTGCTGCTTGTTCAATATTTTGTTTTGCACACAGGTGCACCTTTATCAACCAATATGTGATTTCCTAAGGCAGCTGATTAAACTTCATTCTTTTGAAAGAATAAACATAAAGGGGGCATGCCAGTCTTATTACAAAATAAGAAAATGGAAGGAAATATAAATATTAGCTTTTCTTCCTCTTTCTAATTATCAGCTACTTTAGATTGCTCTATCAAACAGAATCTGAGTAAAATGCACTTAAGCTAAGGTTGGATATGACAGAATATGTAAAAGGTCAAGAACTATAAATACTCCAGCAAGACTCTTATATAATTCTCAAATCAAGCCAGAATGGAGACAGAGAAACAAAACATTTAGAGAGAACCGAGGAGCACATTGAGGAAGGTCTCAGCGTTAAAATAAAGCCCTTAGGCTGGAATTGAAAACTTAGATTTAGGACATTTTAGCACTGATTCAGATTCTGAAAATCATCTCTGTCTGTGAGCTATTCATCACAAGTATCTATTTTCAGACTGCAGGGAAATGGTGGGAAGTTTCTTACAAATAGGAGGACTGATGTTCGTCGCTGATGTCAGACTACATAATGAGATATGTGATACTGTCATTAACCAAAAGGGGGCAGTAAAGTTGTTTTCTATGGAATTGGAGAAAAAAAAACTAGTGAGGCTGCCTAATATAAAACCACAGTTTAGGTTCAAATGGCTCAATTTTATTTCCTCTAAACCTCAGCTTTACTTGAGGGATGGAGAGTAAAAACAATGACGGGAGACAGCTTGCTCTCCTCTTTTAACTTTCATTTTTTTAGGAACTAAAACACTTATCTTGTTGGGAGTTTTTGACAGAAAAACAAAATTTCTTCTGCTATCAAAAGCGCAACCAAAGCCATTGCAGCTGATTTTCTGCACCTGAGTTAAGCCTTATAGAGTTTTATGTTCCAAGTAAAGCAGAAAATTATCAAAACTTCAGATAGAAATGTAAAAAGCTTAAGTTTCAAACCACATTTTCAACGAAATCATAAAACTTCATTACCTTTTGCTGCTGGCATCAAACCCGTAACAAAAAAAATCTTTCCCCTGCAGCAAAGCCATGAAGCATGACATCATGTTTGTACGGAGCCAACTACATCCTTGTCATCGTGTTTGTGACCTCCACTCTTTTCTATTTTTTCTCTCCATTCACCGTATCAGTCACCACTAGAGTAGAGCTAAAGCTATAAAAAAAAAAAAAAGAAAGAAAATTTGCATCTTCGCAAAAATACAAAACTAATTTCATTGGATTCATTTTCTGAGTCAGAAGCTGACAACGTGAATCACGTAGAGGGAGGTAGCTGAGGAAGTATGACTAAGATTTGCAGGAAAAGAGGAGTAATGAATGAGGGAGCCCATGTAATGATATCTGAGACAAAAACAGGGAGGAGAAGGAGTAACCAGAGGAGATCCCAGAGGAAAGTCTATCAAACAGATCCTTCTTACTGTACATAAATACCAAGCCATGTGATCTGGCAGCAGCATATCTCTACTGCACTTATGGCAATCCTAACCAAAAATTAAATAATCCATTTAACCCAATAGATAAAGTGATACACATTTCCATAATTAAGAAATTCATACCGGTACTTAACTCCTGGTGAATTGTTTCCATATTTCTAGTTACAGCCTACGTTTCCATCTGTCATTCCACAAGAAGCATTTCAACAAGGTTGAGGTATGTGTTGTGAATAGTGGGTTTCTGAAAGGGTTGTTCTTTCTGCAAATCATATGAGTCTAGCTATCATTAATTACTAAATTAGTTGACAATAATTTCAAAAATTGATTAACTCCCTTTAATGTGACTCACTTTCTCAGCTCTATTGAGTGTTAGTGTAGAGTGAACAAAAAGAAAGCTATAGTTAAAAGAAAGCGAGTCCTGTTTGTCACAATCCATGCAGGGGATACAAATATGGTAAAGGGTGCTCTGGTCATGTGAGAGCACAACTTATTTAGTTTCTTCTAAAACACTACAAGCAGTGGGAAACAAACACAGCATATTAATGCAGAGACAATGGTAGTATCATACTGTGGGGATACTTCAGCTGGGAAAGAGAGATGCTAGTTATTGCAGATTGGTAGATGGATGGCGCTGAAGAAACAGAAGAAAGTTGTGCTTGGGATTCAGCTTTTTTATTTTGTAAACTATTGAAAACCATGCAGCACATTCTATCTTCTACCTTGGTGAATGTTTACATTTCTAAAACAAAATCTAGATCAAATACACGAAAGTCTGTGGTCCTGACGGGAAAGTATGAACATCTTCAAGATGTATTAATACTTTTAGAAGGCTAGTGCTGCTTTCCTCAGCTACAGACAAATAGAAACTACCCCTAATACTTAAAAACCGGTGAGGGAAATGTTTCTTTCCTCATTTCTTCCTGCAGCTGACCGTCGCATAAAAAAAAAAAAAAGTCATGTACGGATTAAATATTGACCAACTCTTGGAGGAGCCTCAGCAAGAACGTAATGTACAAGTAATGGCATGGTTTATTTTTAGAATCCATGCTTTAAAAAGTCAGCTTTGCACTTGAGTGAATGTGTGTGCATTCTATGTTTTCTTATATGGGTTGTAGGCAAGATTGAGGCATCTTCTTTGGGAGAAAAAAAAAACGGGGAATTGTGTGAATTAATGTGTACATTTCCAGTACACTCAGATCTTTTTTATTCTTCTGAAAAGGCAAACATAGCCGAGCAAGGACATAAGTCACGTAACCTGAATTTTAATTAAGTGCTTCCTGTTTACGGCCCCCCAAGTGGCATGGGGCCAGGCCCTCTGGGGGCCCACCTGTACTTATTGGATCCAACATACCTCTACTGACCCAACTGGAAATGACTCAGTAACTATGCATGGAGGGTAACAACGACCCTTTAGTAATCCTCCCACCGTTTGGATTTCAGCCATATCATAAATTAGCCCTGTGGTTTCTGCCGTGTCGTTTAGTTTTCATTATTAACACCAATTCAAATAAATTTCACCTAAAATTCCTGAATATTTAAACTTAAACATAAAAGGAATATTAAGCCCTAAAGGTAAGGGAAATTATTATCAAATAACGATTTGAAAATAAAATAAATATAGAATAAAAAAGCATTGTATGAAAAACTGTAGCTTATTCATAATAAATAGCCAAGTCCACTGTTTATCATTTGAGAGGTTTAATATAATGAACCCCATTGATTTCAGAGCGCTCCTTTCATGTAACCATGATAAATATTTGATGACTGCTGTTGGGCCCTGTACTCACTGAGATGGAAACCAAGGAGTGTAGGGATAATAAAGGAAATGTGTGTGTGTGGATGTTGCTATAACATATGGAACAGAGAGGAGGAAAGTGTGTGTATGAATGGAAAGGGTGTAGTAATGACCCCCCTGTGAGCGGGGGGAGGAGCCCCCTTGTCTGGCCTCCTCCTTTATACCATTAATAAATAATTAACTAGAAATCTGCCAGTCGGAGCAAACTGGTGGCATATTACAAGGCACTATGTATGGCAAAGGCTATCAGCCAGAGGGTATCCATTCATGTGCATCAACCTATCTCCAGGGATGGGAGAAACTGATGGGGGAGTGGGTGGTTGAGGGAGGCTCAGTATGCTGGTCCGAAAAGTGGGGGTGTCAGGAGGGAGGTGTGAGAGATGCAGAGCAAACAGACAGAATCAGTCTCATGAAGGAAACCTTGCTATGACCATATAAGGGCATGGGCTCTGCTTTAGGCTTCAGATTGGTGGCTGCCATGCACTCATCTGGTGGCGACTTCAAAGTCATTTGGGGGGAGAGTTTGTGATGTCATGACTACCAAGATGGGCAGGTTTTATTTTCTTTGAAGAAAAAAGATAAAAAAAAACAGGATGTGGAAGAAAATATTGAGATCTTTAAAGAATAAGAGCAGGAGAAAAAAAGTATATGTTCCTTAAAGTAGCTGATAAAATATCTATACTGGGAAAAAAAATATTATTTGTTAGTTGGTTCATTTTAAGTTTTGGAGCACATGATCATCAGTAACTATTTCCTTTTTTTTACATTGCAACCATAAAGTCCAATGTTTTTATTTATGTCCTAAGTGATAGACATGGGGAGGTTTATAAGGAAGAGCATAGCATGTTTTAAAGAAATTAAATAAAAAACTGTGAAGTGGGAGTATTTGTACTTCATTCCCCTTAATATATACTTTGCTGTACAATTTTACTTTTGTTAATTCTTCTTTTTAAAGTGGCTCTCAGTTACAGTAGACTGAAAGTTACTGGCCAAATCCATTTTTAAAAAAGATTCTCAGTTTAGTTTTGGTCTGGACTTTGACTGGGCCATTTTAAAATGTTAATATACTTTCTTTAATAATGTTCCCACAGAGCTCTGGGTGTAAGTTTGTGTTTTTTGTTCTATAGGAAGGTAAAACTTGAACCCAATGTCAAGAGTTTTTTTTAGAAGGTTTTCTTCCAGGGTCATTCTGTATCTAATCAGCCCTCTACTCAAAATCTCTTCCAAACTTAACTGAATCTGCTAAAGATGCTGTCAACCTGTTTCACAACGAGGGACGATGTGTTCAGGCTTTAAATGCAGTGTTTGACTCAGCATTTTATGTGCAGGGAATAAAACTTAATTGTAGTCAAACCTGTCCAAAGCACGTTCTCTTTTCTCTACAGAACTCCTCTTTTTGTACTGAGGTGAAGTTTCACAAAGATGGATATTTGCACGAAAAAAGTGACATCTATTAACAACAGGTTACATTCAATAATATTGAATTATGCAACTGATACTATATATCCTTTTTGCTTCCACTTTACATTTAAATGCTACTTTGAGTTGGTCTGGCACAAAGAATTATGATTTAATAAACAAAAGTCTGTGTTAAAATAAATCTAAGGAAAATAGGAAAAACATGGAAAATAAGAAAGTAAAAAATAAAAACTCTAAAGAAGTGTTTGGTTTTACTTTAGAGATATTTTGACTTTTTATCAAAACAGAAAATCTAAAAAAAATATTAATTACCGAAGCAGCAAATAGCATCCAAGAAAATGAAAGTATGAATATGAATTTTCAGTTCTCATATTTTACATTGAAATTTGTCATAGATTTAGGACAGAGATAGAAATCCTTTTCATCCTATCATGGGTGACTTCATCTATCGTATCTGCAAGCAACAATCAACTGAAAACAGACATGGAAGTGAATTTCAACAGGTCAGGAAAAACTTCACAAATTCCTCCCTCCGGATTCATTCCCAAGTACATAAGTTCAAGTAAAAAAGGATAAACAACCGTATGGTATGAGTCATTTCTACTGAGAAAGAGCAGAACACATGAAAGCAGCCTAGACCTTTGCAAAGGGAACATTAATCTACAACATATACATACTCTGATGGAAAACATCCTTCAAAAGCCACATTGTATATGTGAAGTGTTTCAACTGGATGAGTCTCATTAATTGAAAAAAGTCGAGTAAAAACATTGCCTTGTCTGCAGTGCTGACTCCTCATCTACCAAAAGTATTTGAAGAATTTGGAGCCAATTTAGTAGGCTTCTAATTTGTTCCCCATTACCCCTCTAACATGAAACAATGCATTCCTGGATAAAGTAGTTGAATTTATAAAGCCCTACAAGCCTGTTGCTTCGCTTAAGAAAACAATCAAACAAAACACAAGTAGTTTGGTGCTTTATATTCTGACACTCACCTCGCCCTTCTTCCAGGCTACAGACTGGCGCCTTGATGTCGTCTCCTCGTTGATGCTGGACAGAAAGTTCTGGGAGATTCTAAGGGCGTCCTGCAGGAGCGGATGGTCTGGGTGGCTGGTGGGTGTGTGCTTGAGCAAGTCCTTGTAGGAAATGAAGAAGTATTACATTAGAAACAAAACAAAAAAAAGGTTAGTGAAAACAATTACTGTGCTCAGTTAAAAAAATAAATAAAATGTATATATATATATATATATATATATATATATATATATATATATATATATATATATATTAGTGCTGTCAATCGATTAAATTTTTTTAATCGCGATTAATCGCATCAATGCCTGAGTTAACTCGCGATTAATCGCATTTTAATCGCACATTTTTTTTCCTGATTGAAAATCATTTAAATACTCTCGATGACATACAAAAAAATACACACAGGCTAGGTTTGTGCCAATGTTCTTTTTTTAAAATGAAAACAGGTTACAGATACTGATTTATGCCAAAAATAACAAATATGTAGCCAAAAAAAGGCCCTGAAAACAGGCTGATGTAAAAGACAGTCTTTACAGTTAATACAGTCTTTTGAACAAAGACAAGCATTTTACCCTACTGCTATAAAATTTTGTAGAGTTAACATTAGATGTTAATTAACCAAGGTAATAATGAACAATTTTCAATCAATACATCAAAATCAATAGACCAACATCACTAGATGGAGGTAGTCTATGCCCTAGAAATTTACTTTTCAGCCTCTTAACAAAAATGAGAACACACACACAAGCACCCACCCACCCACACACACACACACACACACACACACGATACCGACCTGTGGCGTACACATACGGCAAGAGTGCCGTAGCAGATTCCATTTCACCTCAGTAATCTGTTTTCTCAGCGTATTTCAGGTTGCTACTAGTTACCAGACACTCAACTTGTTTGTTGGTGGTGGGGCTTAAAGAAAAGGCACTAGTGTCACCCAGTGTTATGAGCGTCTTTTTCCCTTGAGGAGCTCCGCTCTCGAAGCCTATGGAAAATGCATACACTGGGGGAAAATAGCCCCGCCTTCCCGCAGGCTGCAGCGGGATGTACTTGGAAAATTGTACCATAAAACCACATAGCGTTAATCTCACGTTAAAAAAATTATCGCAGTTAAAATGGCCTCGCGTTAACGCGATAATAACGCGATAATTTTGACAGCACTAATATATATATATATATACGTAACTGTGACTTTGGGGCTGCTACTTACATGTAACACCAAAGTGCTGCGTGTCACTCGGTCCACTGGTTTATACAGCAAAGCTGCAGTCAAAATTAAACAGAAACCAGACTGAAAATTTGATTCTGCTTGCAATGAATTTAAAAAAGAAAGATTGACAATTTAAGTTGACTTAAAAAAAAAAAGATAACACGACTGACCCTCCAGTGAGTTCTTGGCCATATCCTTACAGTCTTTAGGGCTCCTCACCTTAAGGTTCTGTTTGAGCAGAAAAAGCACCAAAATTAACTTGGCATCAATGACACAGAGTAGTTTAATGACATCAGTTCATGTTCAGGTTATATTATATAGTTATATTGCTTCAAGTACTAAAGCTCTTTCCCTTCCAGATTAATCATTCCATCCTCAGCAGCTTTTTTACCCCACTATTATGGTCAGATAGCTCAGAGCTATGCATCATGGCTTAGACCATTAACAACTCTTCCATGATGGATTTCCTGTCTAGCATATAGATGCCAGCTTCAACTCTGACTGAATGGCCCTCATGAAACATGGACAAAGACCGGAATTTAGAAAGATTCATGAGGGTTGAAAAAAAAAAAGATAGAAGTAATGAGTCAAGTATCCCAAAGAAATGCCATCAGACTTTAGGGGAACATTTATTCCCCATTTAAAACAACAATGAATGAGTAGCTTTGTTTTTGAGATTAAGACTTGAGACTGAGATTAATATAAATATTAATTTTAGATTATATCAATTTTCTGTTTGTTATAAAACCCTCTAAAATCAAATACTAGAAACGATACTCTTCAGATGTATTGTAAACTATTAGGTAATTGCACCATGTTTATGGTAGAAAAGTTTAGGTTTCTAAAAGCATAAAAGTATCTGGGACAAAAGAACCTAATTCTTAAAACAGCCTTAGAAAATATTTAAGCATATCTACTAAAATGGAATAAAATATAAGTTATACAGTATGGGAATACTAATAATATTAAAACAATAATCACACCTCAGTTTAATTGTCTTTCGATTAAGCTACAAATTATAATAAGGACCACTTTTAAAACAAGATGAACAACTTGATAAAATAATTCTAATGGCAAGTAAAAAAACAAATATCAAAATGAGTAGGCATTGTTTCCCTAGTATAAAATGAGGGCTTGTATCTGTATAGATTTTCTTTTGAAATTACCAATGAAATATTGAAAACAAGTGGTTAAAATCAGATTGGATGGATATCAGCAGCCATAAAACTCTGGAAACCAGCTCTGAAAAGAATGAACAGATGACATGGTGAAGATTCAAACAATGTTGTCAAACTCAAGGACTGCAGGGGAGAAGAGGAAGATTAGGAAAGCCAATGGAACCATCTCTGGTCCAGCACTGGAAAGTCTTTCATATCATAAATCAGATTTTAATTGATTACAGGAAATTTAACTACTGTGGACAAGATTTTCATGGATCCTTATTTCAGTAGCTTTGTTCCATTACCCTACACAGTAATTGTTTGCCATTTTAAATTCTATAGCCACAGTCAACAACCCTGGACCAAGACAGCAAGATTTACAATGTTTTAAATAATTATCAAAAAGGTCCAAAAGTATATCTGTCGAAGGAACTGACTAGGCTAAAACTAGGCCAAACTTCTGATATCTTTTGTTTATGTAATGTGATTTAATGTTCATGACGCAGCCATGTGCACGAATGGGTGTTTTTTGTTGTTGTTTATTTGTTAACTCAGAGCCCTCAAGGCTTTTTTTTTTTGTCTAGCTTGCAAAGCTGTATTATAGGCCATGCTCTGTATTTATTGATCAAATTAATCTAAGATCTTTTGAAAATGTTAATGTTTTTAGTAATTCCAGTAAAAAAAGAGACTACATTGGCTGCTGCAGCTTTTACATCTAACTGAGTAATGTTGTACTTAGATTAAAAGCTGTGCAAATAGTAGCTCACCCACGAGTAGTAAAACTAAATATCTTTAGTTTCTTAACGATGCTCCTTTGGCAGTTAAAAAAAAAGATTCTAAAATAATTTCTAAGCCATTTTAGTTATTGACAGCCGAACCGATTGAAAATGCTAGCACTGGCCAGGCATATATAAAACACATTCAAAGCAGAATGAAAAGACTAAGATGTTTTTTTCCTCGTGGGTCAAGGATTTCCTCCTTTTGCCATTTTTGCATCCAGTGTGACTTTTTAAATATTAAATGTGAGCATAATTAAGGCTCTAGATCAAGTAAAGTAGTGCATTAGGTTATCCTGGGGCTGGACCAGCAGGTCAGTCAGGAATTACCACAATGTGACATCTTAATAAATATCTTAAGAGGGATATAATAACAAGACTAATGTAGAATATGTACCACTGAAGGAATGGAGAATATAATTTTAATGCACTTTAAAGAAAATGTTCAAGCTTTAATGCTTTAACAGTTAATGTTGCCAAAACATCAACAAATGGGGTTGGTTTTAGGGATGAAAACTAACAGATTATTATAGAAAAGGAACAAGATATACATGTGAACATAAACAATTGTTTGTATCTGAATAAAGAAACCTAACAAAGTGTAAGAATTTAAATACATGGAGATTAAGGAAATGGTGTTAGTGAATAAAGGGAGTTGTGCAAGTACAGTTCAACAGGGACAACAGGTTTCGAGTTTCTCTTTTTGACTCTCAAAAGGTTGCTTTTAAAAGAGACGTAGAAAAGTGAAGTTAGATCTTCCATAACTTAACCAAGTACCGATTTCCCATCTTATTAGGTCAGATGGAGACAATGGGATTCCTCTTTTCCTCACCTCAGAGATTTCAGCAAACTGTGAGTTAGCCTGGCAGCACTTTTCTGCTGTCTCTACAGCAAGCTCATAGTTGTCCAGGAATGCCCGATACACTCCAAGCTGGCTCGCCTAAAGAGAAGAGAGTTCTTCATTATGAAAAAAAATTTAAACCAATAAAAAAGACAGAAATTGTAAGTAAAGGCTGAAAATGGCCTACCTAACTGCAACTGACATGAGGGGGGGTAATCTAACTAAACATCCAGCAAAGAAGACGGACGTATAAAAACGACCCCATTTAACTATGGTGCTCCTTGACGCTTGCTGCTATAGCAACTGGGAGACCTGTTCTGCGCTGAGTGGCATAATTAATGACTGCTGTAACAGAGGCTATGATAGTACATTTAGGAAGCTGGATGACAGAATTAAATTCCAGCAAACGCTGCCTGCCAGAGCAGAGATTCATCTTAGTGGAGAACAAAAGGATGATCAATTCTTCTGAACAAAAGCTGAGGGGAGAGCTTACGGTGCAGCGGAGGTGGGCCCTGTGTGAGCTGTCAAAGCCCAATCAACCTCCCACCCCCACCTATCGAAACACACACACACACTATACTATTAAAATACTGAGAAAATCTCTTTTGGTCTTTTTAGGAATTTATTTTAGTGCTCTATTTGCCTTTTGCGATAGTGGTTCAATGTAAAAGCTTGAATATTTAGGCATATAACAAAATACAGCATTTTATGCATTTTTCTCAAAACATAAATCCAGAACACAGAAACCAAAAACCGAACCTGGAGGACAGTCAGCACATGATGGTTTTGGAAAGCATTTCCCTTTTTTAACTAAATCTACTTTTTATGGAATAAAGTGAAGAAAAGCCATCATTTTGTCAAAAAAAACATCGGTTTTATTTGCTTTAATCAGACTTATTTCTTTTTCTTTGAAAATATTTCAAAAGTGTCTAATGCTGAGTTTCACTTATAGGTTAAAATATAAATACTAATGAAAATAAATGATTACTTCTGAAATTCTTTTTTTTATAAAGAATTATGCAACCTGCATGTATCAACTTATCCTCTGGAACAAAAAAAATAAATAAACAATATTGCAAAATCACTTTGAATTGTATGCATGGAACCTGTACAGGAACTGTAAAAGTTTCAAGCTACATGCCAAATATTTAAGAAAAAACTAAATGCCATATTTTATTTTAATATTAAATTAAACATTCCCAAAACAGATTTAACATGCTATTCGGCAGAAAAGTTGTCTCACTATGAATCAGCATGAAACAGGCAGGTGTTGCTTTAAAAATCCTTCCCCAGGAAGCCCAATCTGCACTATAGCAAGAGTGATTCAGAGCGTGACATCTTGAAGAACGGGGGAACCCAAACGCCCCACAACCACATCCCCATATAACAGCGTGAAGGCTTATGGAATGTAGCCATAGAGTCAGAGCAGAAAATGCTTTAGAGAGATAGAAGGAAAGTGCTTAGGTGTTGGATTTCACAGCCTGGGACTTTCAATTTGTTAGACTAGGAGTTTAATCAGCACTAGAAAACATTTGCAAAACTGACAAATGAAAAACCAGACATTAAATGGCTGAACTTAGATTGCTTATTGCTCTAGAAAACATTTGAGCCAAGAAAGAATTGTTATATCTACAAATATTCTACAAAAAACAGGTATTTTAATTACTACACCTAAATTTAGTACAATTCATCATCTGTCCTCTGATATCAGGCTTGATTAGTTCAAGTTAACAAAAACAACAATCACCTTCAGTTCATTTCTTGAACATGCCCATGTGTTCATGACTGTTGCTCACAAATTTGTTACTTAAATCTTGTCCCAGAAACTGTGAAAAACAACAGATTTGGATGTTCCTTTACTCATCTCTAAGAAAATTCAAAGCTAGTTCCCAAGTCTGAAGCTCATGTTTAGCAGGATCAGGATCACAACTGTGAACGCGCCCCATTTCCTGCCTTGAAACGTTTCTCTCCGACACTTCACTCTCCTAGCCTGTCAGGGATGCTTTGCCTTTTCCTCTTTTCGTTGGCTCTCTCATCTTCCTCGTTCTGATGTCTCATGACAATCTGCAGGCTTTACTAAGCCTTTGCAGATTTGAGAGTCATGGTGAGACAGCTCTATCAGAGTTCCAGCAGTCGAAAAAATCTACTTGGCTTGTTGGCTCCCATCCTTTCACAGACGTCCCAACCCCACGAGGACTCATGCATCACCTCCTTTATTCCCTTTTAATTCCTTCCCCTTGTCTGCAGAACAGCATAGCTGTAAGTACTGTTTGACAGTAAGAAGGGATAAGATAGATGCAGCTTCACTGCGTTCAGTCAATATTTGCCTGATTTTCTGGTAAGGATTATTGTGAAAAAAGAAGGCAATCTTGATAAGCATATATGGTTTCAGTACAGTCCTGCTTTTCCGTAGGATAATCAGGCTTCTAAAGCATTTTCCATTTCAAATCCTACATTTTTAAAGACTCAGGTTTCTGAATATTTCTTGTGTCTTTCCAAACAACAACAACATTTCAGTGGAAAACAATTACCCTGATTTGGCTTTTACACTTTTGAGACTTCCTTAGGTTTCAAACCATAAAAAAGGTTCAACAGCCGACAGAAGTTGATTTCTAATTCAAAAGTGTCCTAAAAGACAAATGCATCAAACCTGTCGAAAAGAAAAACAGCTTTTTATGACACAGTTTGCGATAATGGCTACTTAATGCTGCCTTTAAAGCTGTAAAACGTAATGGTTTAATTGCATTATAGCTACACCAGAGCTAATCTTTATTTGTGATATGGGAAATCGCATGGTATTATGTTAGGAAATGTTATATTTAAATTGAAAACTTTTTACGTTCTGTGAACTTTTATACTGTAGAAAATAAAATAGTTAGGAAACAATACATTTTCCAAACCAAATTTTCTACGTCCCTCACTCATTAAAACATGGATATATAACATAAATATAGATTTGGATATTCAAAAGTGAAATGTATTATAAATATTCTCCAGGATTAAAAGGAGAGGGTGATTTAATAATCTTTTTTTACTTCGACGATTGAGGTTTATCTGTTTTAAATACAAATTTTATTAATTTAACCTAAAAGAGAAATTAACTATATAAAAGGAAAAGTATTCATCTTATAGTTTTATTAGTTTGTATGTGTCTATGTATCAAAAAATTAAACAAAATCAATCTTATTTTCTTATCCAAAGCCCAAAGGCAGCCTTCAGAGATTAATTAATAAGATTTTGTATGTGTGTGTGTGTGTGTGTGTGCACATGTGAGTGTGGTGAAAAGGAGCTCCTATTTATAGCAGCTTCTTGAAGACACAAAGCACACAGCGTTGTGATGGCCTCAGCTGCCTGAGGCAGAAAGGGGGCATTGTGAGGTAGGCCCCAGCTCCCCTCTGTGCGCATGTGCACACCAGAACATAAACCAGTCGAATGGGGGGGATAGACAAGGGGCATGAAGAAGAGATCAGTGGGAGAGAAGCTGTATTTCTCAGAGTATTAACAAATGATTCATTGGGATTTAATTGACCCCCTGTGAAAATGATTAAATAGAACCAGTGTACTGTACATTTGGGCCTGACATTGTTGGGAGAAACGGCTGTAGGAAAAAAAGAGAGCAAGCAGCTGTTCAGGCAAAAAAAAGAAGAAAAAGAAATCCAGATCAATTTGCGTAATCTTGAAAAAAATAAGAATATCTAAAAAAAAAAAAAAAAAAAAAATCACATCTGCTTTTATTTTTTACGTTTATCAAATTTGACTGACAGACTGCTTCTGAAATCATATGGTTGAAAGATGCAGCACATTGAGTAATGCAACTGCAGCTTTGTTGATTTGCTTTAGGAGGGAGTCCAGAGAACATAAATGTCACTGCAGAACCCTGAATGCCCTTTTCCATTGCTGTCAACCTTTCTGGCTGCCCAATGTTGTCACTTTGATTAGGGGTAACATCACGCAGCTACAGCCAGGGACTCAGACGCAGTCATGTCTGCTCAAGGACTAAAACTACAAAGAGGCCAAGCTTTTCAGAAAAGGCCTACCAGTTTCTGGAAGAGGTCCCCAACTCTCTGGTGGTGGCTCCATTGCTGCACACGGGGCAAAAGTCCATCATAGAACTCTTTGTGAATCTCGTAGAGCTCAGGCACTTTGAAGAAGATGGTTTCTATCTGGGCCACTGTGAGAACAGGCTGAGATGTTGTAGCAGCTGCTTTTAAAGGCTTCATTGGCTAAAAGAGACAAAGAGAAGTTAAGTTTAGCCGATTTAACGAAATACAGCGCAAATTAATGAAGTAGGGTTAATGAAGCGGCCATTTTTTTTAAATCCAATCCAATTTTATTTGTTAAGCACTTAAAAACTACCACAGCTAACCAAATCGTTGTACTAAAAAAAAAAAAAAAAATATATATATATATATATATATATACACACACATCTATATATATATATATATATATATATATATATATATATAGATGCATACATCTATATCTATATATACACTATATTGCCAAAAGTATTTGCTCACCCATCCAAATTATTGGAATCAGGTGTTCCAATCACTTCCATGGCCACAGGTGTATAAATTCAAGCACCTAGGCATGCAGACTGTTTTTACAAACATTTGTGAAAGAATGGGTCGCTCTCAGGAGCTCAGTGAATTCCAGCGTGGAACTGTGATAGGATGCCACCTGTGCAACAAATCCAGTCGTGAAATTTCCTCGCTCCTAAATATTCCACAGTCAACTGTCAGCTGTATTATAAGAAAATGGAAGTGTTTGGGAACGACAGCAACTCAGCCACGAAGTGGTAGGCCACGTAAACTGACGGAGCGGGGTCAGCGGATGCTGACGCGCATAGTGCGAAGAGGTCGCCAACTTTCTGCAGAGTCAATCACTACAGACCTCCAAACTTCATGTGGCCTTCAGATTAGCTCAAGAACAGTGCGCAGAGAGCTTCATGGAATGGGTTTCCATGGTCGAGCAGCTGCATCCAAGCCATACATCACCAAGTGCAATGCAAAGCGTCGGATGCGGTGGTGTAAAGCACGCCGCCACTGGACTCTAGAGCAGTGGAGACGCGTTCTCTGGAGTGACGAATCGCGCTTCTCCATCTGGCAATCTGATGGACGGGTCTGGGTTTGGCGGTTGCCAGGAGAACGGTACTTGTCTGACTGCGTTGTGCCAAGTGTAAAGTTTGGTGGAGGGGGGATTATGGTGTGGGGTTGTTTTTCAGGAGCTGGGCTTGGCCCCTTAGTTCCAGTGAAAGGAACTCTGAATGCTTCAGCATACCAAGACATTTTGGACAATTCCATGCTCCCAACTTTGTGGGAACAGTTTGGAGCTGGCCCCTTCCTCTTCCAACATGACTGTGCACCAGTGCACAAAGCAAGGTCCATAAAGACATGGATGACAGAGTCTGGTGTGGATGAACTTGACTGGCCTGCACAGAGTCCTGACCTCAACCCGATAGAACACCTTTGGGATGAATTAGAGCGGAGACTGAGAGCCAGGCCTTCTCGTCCAACATCAGTGTGCGACCTCACAAATGCGCTTCTGGAAGAATGGTCAAAAATTCCCATAAACACACTCCTAAACCTTGTGGACAGCCTTCCCAGAAGAGTTGAAGCTGTTCTAGCTGCAAAGGGTGGACCGACGTCATATTGAACCCTATGGATTAGGAACGGGATGTCACTTAAGCTCATATGTGAGTCAAGGCAGGTGAGCAAATACTTTTGGCAATATAGTGTATATATATTTTAACACTGTAAAGAAGCTCATTGATTAAATGCTTTAACTTTGTTTCACATATATATATATATATATATATATATATATATATATATATATATATATATATATATATATATATATATATATATATATTTTAACACTCTGTAAAGAAGCTCATTGATTAAATGCTTTAACTTTGTTTCACATTTTCTCATGTTAAGAAGCCAAAGCTCAATGAACTTAAGTGCCATTTTATGCAATAGACTAACACAAAGCAGCACATAACTGTTAAGTTAAAGAAACTAAACCCATATTTTTTTAAAGCTGTTTTTGCAAAAATCTGAAAGATGTGGTATTTATTTGTGTTTAGCCTTCTTCACTGATATAGTAAAATAAATTGCCAGTGTCAGGCATCAGGAGGAATTGTTTCCAAAACGGATACAGAAAGAAATGGTTGTCCACCGAAACGTGATGATCGAGCGAGCAGAAAAGCACCAAAGAGGCTCATGGTACCTCTGGAGGAGCTGCAGGTACACACAACCCTCTGGTAGAAGTATTTGACAAAACCAAAAATGATTCGTTTTTAAATTCCTAAACCTGATCTTTACAGAAAGCTGGTTTAAAGACACATTTGATTGTAAGATAGACATTAGAAGTTCTATTTAGTCTGCTGCAAAATTAAAAACATGTGGACAAAGATGTGACATGTGGATTCCTCTCATAACTCTCCTACTTTTGTTTATAAAAACCTTGAAAAGTATGTCTTCAGCGACTCAGTGCTCCTCATCAGGCCAAAACCCATGAACAAAGATCTTTTAACACTCTTTACAGGACCTTGCTCTCTTAAATGGATGTTGATGAGTGAAGCAAAGCAGAAATGTTTGAAGAACAAGCATTGAAAAACATTGGCCTCTCTCATTGGTTTTGGAGAACATTGGCTTAAGTTTAATTAACAGCAGGCTGATATTGTGGATGCAGCTTTTCTCACCAGCAGCAGAGCCTCTAGGTGGCTGAGGTATGCTTCTTCTGTGGCCAAGATCCCAGATAGAACCCACTTCCTCATCTCCAAGCCCTTTTCAAGGTCACACTCCGTCTGTGAAGAACATAAACACAATTAATTTTAAAACATCTAACAAATCTATGTCATGCTAAATAATCAATACAATGTTGTCAATCTTTGCCTCGCAAACTTAGTAAAAACTTTCAACATAGCTTAAACTGTACAAAACTGTTATAAGTGCTACAATCAATCTTATGTCTGACCAATAAAATCTTGTTTATTCATATAAGAGGGTTAGAGAATGATAGATAATGCTTTGAATTTATAGCTAACAATGAAAGGTTTGCAGGAATGCTCAATGAAACAAAGACATCCGGAAAAAAAAAATAAAAAGAAGCATCTTAGGCTGCTTCAACATTCCCCCCTAACTGAGTCAAAGCTCACCGAGGAGCACAGACATGAGAGAAAACAGAACAACAGAGAAACTCCTCGGGCTGCCTTGTTTAACCACAAAATCTGAAATAACTCAAACAGACAGGGTTTCTCCCATGGAAGAAAAAAAAATGTTGGTTCTTAACTATGTGCATGCAGGGGAAACAAAGACAGGCTCCAGTCTGGAGGTGGGGGGGATTTAATCTATGCAAGTTATACAGAACAATAAGAAGACTTTTTTTTAAGTTGTCAAAGGACAATGTATTTGTCTTTGCAAATATTTAATCAAATTTAATGACATAAAACTACCCTTTGCAGCTAGAACTGCTTCAGTTCTAATGTTGGGAAAGAGTTTCCATAAGGTGCAGGAGCACAATTAGGAATATATCTGACCATACTTCCAGATACACGTTTGTGAGCACATTCATGTTGGAAGATAAAGCATCTCCACAGCAATTCTCCCCGAAGGTATTCAGGGAGAGTCAGGCTGACGAGATCAGTCAAGTTTTTCCACAGAAAAACCAACTTATCTACATTTTTATGGTTATTGCTTCTTGCATGGATACACAGTGCCCTGTGGCCCCTTCTAGTTCAATGTTTGAACAGGGAGGGGCCATCCCCAAACTTCTCTCACACAACTGGAGCCTCAAACATTTGTATCACTGAAATTTACTGGTTGAGCCAATCTGTTGTAAAACACCTTTCTGAATTGTAGAATAGGAGGCAGGATTTGTCACTAAAGAAAAGAGGATGGCTTCAGCTAATGGAGGCAACTTCTCAGACATTCAAACCTAATCTATAAGCAAAGAACACATGTAGAGTTATCATCATTCAACTGGTTCACTAAGGATAAGGTCTGTAACTGTTTCTGTGTCTGCAGATAGTCGAGAACCTCTGTGACTTATTTTCTTTTTCCTTTGCTAACAGATTATTATAAAATATTTAGCAGTCAGGGAATTTTACAGTTGAACCTAATACACAGTGGGCATCAAGTCATGGCATTACACTAGAAGTCAACATTTCCAGCTTGAGTTGAGGGCCACTGAGGGGTGTTAACATTTTTTATTTTGGTAGCATTTTAAAGGTAAATTTTTCAAATAAAAACATTACTCTGTACCGTTTCATAAAACAGGGGTAACAACACATTGCACCATGTTTTCCAGCTCTGATGTCTGTGGGTGTACATGCATTTATTAAAATGAGGGGGCTAACAGGTTTGAAGTGGTTTCCATGACCACTACATAAATAGATGGGGATGTAGATAACAGCAAACTGTTAGGGCTCAAAATAATCACCAAAACCCTCTAGGTTTATAATAGACTGCATTACACAGGTGGTTGTTAACCAGCAGTGTAAGTGCTTTTATTAGTCTGCAGCTCCTGCAACAGGCATCTCACTATGGTTTTACTAGAAATAATGCTTGATTGAAATTGGAGAATACAGATTTGGGCAGTACAGATGGCTTATGTGGTTTTTAGTTAGTGGTTGAAGCTCAAACAACAATATTAGAGGATGTAGAGAGATCATGATATGATTCAATGAGGAAAACGCAACCACGCTTCCTCATTCCGGCCCTAGAGGTTCAGTGTCCTGCACCTTTAGGATGCGTCTCTGCTTTAACACACTTGAGTCAAATAATCAGGTCATTAGGAGGATCCTGGAGAACCTGACCGACATCTGAGGGGGTAATTCTGTTATTTGATTTAGGTGTGTAGAAGCAGAGACACCAGAGATGTCAAAAGTATTAATATTTATTCCTCAAGTTAAATTAATAAATCCTACTGTTTTAAAAAACCTTTGTAGAAGTTAGAGAATCAAATGAAGCTTTTTACTCAGGTAAAAGTACAATTCTTAAAACTATTTGAATTATATAAAAAGGAAAAAATTTAAGGACAGATGCTTTAAACCTTATACTGGTAATGCACTATCCTATTAAAGGAACATTTTTCTACAATTCTGGATGATAACTCTGTTATGCTTCATTTTATGAGTTTTATAAGTAATGGTAACAGTGTCAAATTTAATTTTGAATCCTCTTACAAAAGTATTTATTTTGGCATACGGTGAACAACAAGTTGGTTCAGTACTGAGTCCAACCTCAAAGAAATTAATTGTCTGGGTGGAACTGATTATTTTTATTTATTTTTCTTAAGCCATAACAAAAATTTGCTTAAAGGGAAAAAAAAACATATTTTTAAACTGTAAGAAGTAAAAAGTAGAGATAATTGCAAAGAAATGTAAGGAGTAGAAGTAAAAAGTTGTCTAAAAATGATTACTCCATTATAGTATAGATAGCCCAAATTTCTACTTAAGCAAGGTAACAAAGTATTTGTACTTCATTACTTGACACCTCTGCAGTAAACTGAACTCAAGAGCCATAAACTCCTTTTGATGCATTACCAACCCTAAAAACTCATTAACTGTAGGGCTATCCTACTGAAAAATAGAAAAAATAAATAGATATCAAAATGAGATAAGAATGCAGTAATGTATTTCACTTTTGGTTCATTTAGTTTGCAGTGAAATCTGTGCAACTGGTAATGAATACAAAATCCTTCCATTTATTTTGTATAAACAGAACAGTTAAAAAAAATAATATAAATGCATCAATCAAACTGCCTTAACCTAGTTTAAAGTGTGCAGTCACCTCATTAAAAGCTTAATATTTATGTTTTGATCTTCATAGCATCTTATTACTACCTTTTTCTGTCAAATGTTTACCTTAGTTTCACCAATAAGATAAAGTAGATTAAAGCTTTAGACTGATATGTTATGATGAAACGATCAATCAGCCACGTATCAAATTCTCTCTTTACGCGGTCAGTTCCCTGTTTGGCAAATTTTTTACTAATTGTAAATTACATGAAAAAATTTTTTATTATTATTTCTTGGTCTCTGTGATATGATGAATAAAATCATATTAAATTGTTATATTTATTTTAAGACATCAAATAAATTGATAATGATAACCACAGCACGTTTAGTCCCTTTTAGCTTCATCTACTCGGGTAGATCATTTAAGATTCTTATGATCCCAGACAGCTTAGTATCATGCTTATTTCTGGGGATAAGAAACTAAATAAATATTTTACATAAGAACTAAAGCAGAATAATTACGTTTTAAACAATAAGCTTGAAGTTAATTGTAACTAACTTATTTAAAACACAATTTGCACAAAACATACCAGTAGTCTGTTCCTCTTCATGTAACAGAGCCTCATCTTTGAAAGTTTATGCTTCTGGGGAACCCTCTGATCTCTCTCTGTCTAATTTCTATCTATTATCCTCTTCTTCTATGAGCACCCTGAGGAGGATTCTGACAGGTACTGCATTATGTATAACGCTGTTTAGAGTTCAGAACAGCATAACACTGACTCTTTCAATTGCTAATTAAATGTAGGCTCTAAATATGCTTATAATACTGATAAAAGTTTGTGCATGGGTTATTACACTCCAATGCAACTTATATGACCTTAAAAAGAAAATAAAACTAACTGTGACAATGACTGAAAATGTGTATCAGCTTCAGCATTTGCAGAGTAACATGAGGGTACATAGCAAACATTAAAAACAAGGTTAAGCAGCTTCATTGTAAGACAAAAAAGGAGAAATGAAGCATTTATTCATTCTTTCAGACCTCGGAGGCCTTCTTGAGAAAGTGCCCAGACAATCCATCTTTTATATGATAAGCCAAACTTTGGGTGCATCTTTAGAGGCATCTATTTGCATGGTTGAAACTGTACACCTAAACAAGAGCTTATCCAGATCTGATTTGATTCTTTTTTCGGTGCTACGGTTGGATTGGCTATCATTGTTATCACTAGGCTACCTCATTTTGGTCACATTTACACAGTGGCGGCCATTTTGTGAGTTTCACGACCCATTGTTCTTAGCTCAAACCCGCCTTGTAGCCTGGCTTCCTGGTGCTATCTGAGCAAATTCATTCTACTCCAGTGCTGCTACATTTTAATGCATTTTTGAGTCATTTTTTACTATTTACAGTAAAACTGAATTAAGCTTCACTTTTTTGATTGCATTTAAGATCTCTACATCAGTTGTTGTTCCTATCTGCTGCTATTTTAAAGGACACCATAAATAAATTATTACATCAAGCCTTAAAACTTGAACATACCTTATTCTTAGAAAACCTTTTCCCCTTTATTAGCTTTTCATTTACCTTTAACTGTTTATAGTGTTTTCACAGTTATTAGATATAATAATACTGTAATGGGGATTATAAACCAATAAAGGTGCCAATATTTTAAACTATGGCGGTCCCTTTTGTGTTAACACTGCGAGGAATAGAGACGATTTCCTTTGGTTGGTGGTTAAAAACTCACAACTATAGCCTAAATTGCTGAAAGACAACTGGATTTTAGCAGCTGGTGCAGAAGTCCAACTTTGGGTAAAAGAATAAACAACCTTGGTGAATAAGCAGATAGTTAGAATCATTAATTATATTAATGGTAATTAACCATAACTTACATTTCTAGTTACCTTATATATTCATCATCTGCTGGTAAAATTGCACACTGGCTAAATAAACGTCACATAAGAAACTTGTGATTTAGGAAAAAAAAGCAAGGTATCTAAATCAGAGGTCACAGATTAGGGGAACAGGGTCCGGATCCGGACCCAACCTGATTCAAAACATTTATAAATTACTGCATGTGGTCTGACGACATTCTCTAAACGTCACTTGCACTGCTTCTCCTTTTATTACGGTAAAACTATCTGGAGGGTCCGGAACCAGGCTGCACGTGACACAAATTAGCCAACAAGCTGTGTCAGTCAGGATTGCTGCTGTTAGTTACTTTTAGATGCAGCAGGCAAACCTGTGGCAAGCCGGGCGATGGGAAAGAAGGAGAGGACGATGAGAAAATGAGAGCAGAGAAAGTGTGGACTGCTGGAAGAAGTGCGGTAAACTAGTGAAAGAAAAGTGAAATGGTGTGCTCAAAGATGACCCTGCACATTTTGAGTGTGTTTGGCTAAACCTACTGCCGTGAAGCAGGATTCCCCACCATGGACATAATAAAAAAATAAATATCGACCCAGGCTAAAAATAAGCACTTTGATATGTGCTTTAGAATGGCTTTGCCACCAATCAAACCCTTGCAAGGCAGCCTAAAGCCCACTTCTCTCATTAAGCCATGAAATAGAACAAAAAATGATCAGTTCAGGTGTTTTATAAAAGAAGTGAGTCAGGAAATTGTCTATGTACCAAACTGAAAGATTGTTGCGCTCTACTTCAAAAACAATTCAAACGTTAAAAGGAAAAACATTCTAACTTTTGTATTTTTTACTTAAAAACTAAATGTATAACATGGATACATAAACACCTGCATTTTATTTCAGTGTTAAATGCTGTTTAAAGTAACGGATTATAATAAAAAATGTCTCCCGACCTTTACTGGTTGATGATTTTCTTTATTCGGACACTGCTGATTTTTAATTTGTTACCCCTGATCTAAATGATGAGTTAACTGACTTTCTACAGATTTACCCTTTATTGCAGGTGACATTCTGCTGATAATATTACAAAAATAGTTAAGAAGGAAACAGAAAGTAGCAATTTTGTGAAGCTATATTTTTTAATCTGTACACAATCATTTTCTTCCATCTATAATATTAGAGAATCTTAATCTGATTCCTTCCTATGTTCATGCTTGCTTGGCTGCGTCCCACTTATCCTGTGTTGCACTTCAGTTAGAAAAAAAAATCGAAAATCTAAATAAGCCATTTTTTTCTTAAAATAAGTGCATTTATTCTATAACTGAGGAGGTAAGTGACACTTTGCCAATGGAACAAGACAATTTAATATAAGAAAAAACAATTGCATTGTCTTATTTCAGGCGTATATTATATAATTATCTTACTTTAAGAGTAAAAATACTCATTCCATCGGCAGATAATCTTATTTACCTACTCAAATTAAGTGTAAATACACTTAATTTAAGAAATGTTGACTATCCCCCCCCCGATTTTTTTTAAGTGAAACACGCATTAATCCAGATTCTGCAGAAGTTAGATTTTTAGTGGAAATATTTTCAATGTTTTCTTTATGTCATCTGAACAAAAAAGGTAATGTTCTCACCTATGATATGATATAAAAGGCATCAAAAATGAAGTTTTAGATGCTTTTTAGATTTGCAGATTCATCAGTCATTCCATAAAGCTTGAAAAAGTGAGTATTATAGTTTGAGAAATAAAGCTGTCATTGATTTGAACTCTTCATTATCAGTTACATCTATTCTCCTTTTGCTTTCTAATGTCAGGAACAGTTACAGAAGGACAAAAAAAGGAAACTTTAGTGAAAAGCAAATCCTCCTTAATGGTGAATCATCACAGTGACATCATAAATCCATCAGCTCACACTGGGCCAACCGCAGCCTGTCTGGGCTCTGATACATAAATCACAGCAAGAGACAGAGATCATGTTTGAGGAGGAGTTTTCAAAGGGCAAATAAAGGACAACAGTTGCTCTGGAAGCTTGTAAGAGTTTGTTTCACTAGGAAGGTTGTTCAGGGTGAATTGTTTTAGTGTTTCATCATATATTTAACTGGCTCTCAGAGAAGAACTCTCAGACCCCAACAGATGCAGTGAAGAAACAAAAAACATTAGTGTGAATAAGTAGTAAATATGTTGTAAAGTCAGACAGCTGACAAATAATTTTAACAAGAACCATTCAGTAAAGTGCCAACCCTGCAGCTACAATGTTTGCACAAGCTATTGATTTATATAGCTTGGGAAAATATAGCATATTACCTCTCTTAGGTCCCTAGTTAGATTAAATTAAGACCACATCTGATGATGCAACTATTTTTAAATGATTCTGATTGAAAGAATTTTAAGAGATGCACCCTCCCCTTCTCACCAGATGCCATGTTAGAGTTTTCCTTTGACAGTGAGAGAAATTCAGGTCAGACAAACTCACCTGGAATCTCAGAAACCACTCTGTACTGTATGTGCAGTTTGGGGGAGTGCGTACTTCTCACCAGTGGGGCACCCTACTCCACTGGGAGCTCTGGGCATAATGACTTTTTGTGCAAAGGGCTACAGCACAGCTCCTCATTCATTGCTGTTGCAGCTCCTTAATGAGATTGTGTGCAGCAATCGTTGTTATGATCCTAATAACACTATTAGAACAAATTACACCAGAGTCCTTTGGTTTTTGCTTTGGGATGAGGCCAGCACGATACGTTTGGCTTTAGATTATCTGATTACCGCATTGTGAAGAAGGTATAGGGCCAAAACATGCACACCCTGCAGGCAGATTTCTCTCTACAACAAAAATCAACCATCATAGCATTCTTAAGATTTTGAGCATGCTCAGAACAGCTGTCACACAGGGAGCCCACTGCCCTCTTTATGCGCTCTTGAAGACCTCTCAGCAACCCTGTGGAGACCACCTATTTTCTGAATGATTTTCAGTATTAAAATTAAGTCTGAATTTGGTGTGAAGGGATCCTAAAAAAGAAAGACAATTCTGCCAATGTAGAGATGCCCCTTAATTATGTACTAATTTAAAAAGCTGTACTGTACAAATTTAAAATTAAAGGAGGGAGTATTTATGCTGCCATGATTATAAGTGCATTTGGATTACCTAAATTTGTCAGAATAAAAAGTTTGCAGATCAAACATTTAAATCAATCAGTGAATACACCATTTGCTGTTGGATGTACAGAATGTCTTATATTATACACATGGAAAATATTGCACAATAGTTTAGGATTTTATCATAGAAAGGTAAGAAAAGCATTTATGTTTTGATATTTATCATTTAAATCAAGGGTAACCAATGAAAACTCAGCAGGGACCGAATAAAGAAAATCAACAACCAGTAAAGGTCCGGAGACATTTTTAATTATAATCTGTAACTTTAAACAGCATTTAACACTGAAATAAAATGCAGGTGTTTATGCATCCATGTAATACATTGAGCTTTTAAATAAAAAATATAAAAGTTAGAATGTTTTTCCATTTTAAAATTTAAACTGTTTTTGAAGTAGAGAACCACAATCTTTCAGTTTGGTACAAAGACAATTTCCTGACTCACTTCTTTTATAAAACACCTGAACTGACCATTGAAGTGGGCTTTAGGCTGACATGAAAGGCTTAAACCTGGGTTAGATTGGCGTCAAAGCCATTCTAAAACACATATCAAAATGCTTAATGTTTTTTGGACAAAGGCATCTGCTTACCTTTTATCTAGAAAGACCATCATGTATTTTAATTAATTGATTCATTTGTTTCCACAGATAAAGAGGAAAATGAGGATGGATGGGAGGCAGTGAATATTTTTTTAAGTAGTTGGAATGAGAGATAATATGATGTTCTCAAAAAGTAACCAATCTCTAAAGGTTCATTTGTTTCTTTCATGGGTTCCAGCATCTGTGGTTACAAGGTGGGGAAAAAATAAACAAGACAAAATGGAAGTCCTCTAGTTGATGAAAATATGTTTCTTGCAAGAAAAGATTAAGCCTTTCCAGCCACAACTGTGGGTTCTAATCCCACAGTTTTGGTATTATGGTCAACAGCTGTAACTGACCGACTTGGAGGACTCCAGTGATCCTGAGGAGAGTGTGTCCCGGCTGCTACGGCTTTTGGAACTGAGGTGTGGAGAGGATGATGGTGAGTCGTCAATGTACGGCAGGATGTCATGGTGCCGCCGCTGCTCCTCTTCTCGGTCCGCATCGTAACCATATGATGGAGGAGTTCCGGTAAAATGACCATCTGTGGGGAACGAAAAAAAAAACATTAAGACCTCTTCAACGTTCGGAATTTGCACTTTCCCTTTTCTAATAAAGATTTGAAATAAAATCATCATCATCAACTTTATTAATAAAGTGCTTTAACAATGACCAAGCTGAAACAAAGTGCTTTACATCAAAGATAAAACAACTATGGGTTGATAAAGCTAAATGTGTAACAATAATGTATGCAGAACAAAAACAGTAACACTACAGAGCAATAAAACAGGTAACAGTTGAATTAAAAGAAAAGTAAATTGGATTGGAAATGCCTCGCACTTCTTCAATTTTGCAGCTAAGCTATTTTCCTTGGGGGGAGGCTAGAATGACAGAAGGATGTACTGCACAAACAGATGTGCAAGAAATTTAAATTGCATACTTTCCAGAACACTGGAATCATACCTAGAACTAATTTGATTAAATAAATTTGCTTACTAAGACCAGACAAAAGTTACCTGGATACTGTAAATCAAAGGCTATGCAGAATAAAATGTGGAAAAATCTCTCATTTTTATTCCAGACATCAAAAGATCCTTGACCTACAAATTAAAATCTATGCTCATTATAAGGGGCTTCCTGCGTGGTCGTGCATTGAGACAAAGAAAGCGAGTTGTGCATTAGATTTACTGATTGGCTGCTTCATGCTCTCAGATGGTTGCCAAGACTGGTAGAGTTAATTTCCAACTCTAATTAGAGCAGCTCAGGAAACTGGGGCAAATGAAATTCATTTCTCCTGCATCTTTGTTCATGCACCCTAAACTTTTGAAAAGAGACACCTAGGAATCTTAAAACTGCTTTAGGGTTTGAATAAGCAGAATAACAGGTAGAGCATTTAGATAATTATTTAGTTAATCTCTTGCAAACTTTAACCATAATCTTAATGATTAAGGCTACAAATATCTGTAACAATCGCAAGTGTCAAATAACCAAGTATAAAGTACTCAGTTACTCTACTTTAGTGGCTTTTTTCCCCCTGTATTTGTATTCTGGTGGAATGTTTACTTTTTGAGGACTTTTTATTTCACTTACTGCAATTGAGCATTAATATCTATCCTTTCTATTCCCTGCTTTCCCTCTGGTAATATTATATGATTGGTTTTAGATGGAAGAATTAAAGAGACAAAGCAAAGAACAAACATCAGTTAGCTGGAAAAGAAAAAACGTGTTTCAAGGTGCTATATTTATGTAGCCTGGCCAACCAGAGTGAATTACACGGAGCGTAATTCAGTCTGCACACACTGGGCAAATCTGGCTAAACCAATCACAGAGCAGGAGGCAGGATTATATGATGCATAAGTCTCAGCGCCATATTACCCATAATGCAGTAGTGCTTTTCGGATGGCATAAAAACAAGCTGGAGACCGCAACAGAGCAATGTTACAATAAAACCTAAGAACGTACTAAGGAGCACACTTTGTATCCTCAGATTTCTTTGGCAAAACCAGCAGAAATCTTTCACAGAAGAGTTTCTTTGACAGCTTGACATGTTTCATGGAAAAAAAATGACAAAAACACAGCACGTCACTTGGAGATTTTGCGTCACCCTCTTAGTTATCTGATTTGTTCTAACCTGATGAGGCTGACCCTCTTAGTCCCGCCTTTGAAATCAATCTCTGCAAACCCTTTACGACATATACACTGCATATCGGTCTGCGCTCGCCCAGTGCTTTTCTAGTTAAATTCACCATTTATTAATCAAACATCCGTCATTATTTCTAGATTTCACCAGAGTTATATTATTTATTCAAAATATGTATTTAAGAGTATTATGGCTGAAGAACACTGGATTTAATTAGTGATACCTCAGATGTTTTCTCTGTTACAGTTGCTGCAAAAGTATACTACTGGCCCCATAAACTAATTTTAGAAAGTCTTCAAATTTAGGTTTTGCAACAACAACAAAAAAATCTGTTGAAAGTTTTTATAACTTATATAACTACTGTAAAATAATCACTGTTTATAGTTTTATTGCCTGGCTTGTTATTTCTGGGTGGGGGCCCAGTTTTTTTTTGTCTTACACACCCTTTGTAACACTCCTGCTATTTTATTAAAGCAAAAAGTTGGGTAACAGCCAGAATTAGAGGACATAATTTACAAAGAAATAAAAAATCAAGTAAAGATATAAACCTTTAGCGTAATATGGTGAAATGACATGTTGTTTATACTACCGGTAAATACAACTAATACAGCATTTAACTTCATACCATATCTTCACTGTAGTCATTCGTTTGCTTCAACAAAAATCTCTTCCCAGTGTACATTTAAGGAAATTAAGTATGCAAGACAGAAGGAGTGTGTTTAGTTTGTTCAGGCTGGGACATTGTACCCACCAATGATTTGCATAGCTTACACCCTGTTGTTTGTTGATGGGTGCTGCCCACTGCTCTTTTTCTGACCAAAGGCGTACTGCTAGAGGGCAGGACCGACACAGAAGCTCTGTGTGGGGCTAACGGCCTCTTCCCACAACGCCAAACCCTTTAGCAAACCAGAGTTACCAGAGTGACGCGTGCAGATTCATTGCTGGTGTAAAAATACCGGGTGTGGTTTTTAAAAATACCCGGTTGGAAAAGAGCGAGTGCCCTCCTTGCGTGTTTTCCTTTTTGGTTTTTGTTTTTTTAGTTCTGCCTCTGTGCATTAATAGTAGGGGCCATAAAAACTAAAGCTTTTATGAGAGAAATCCCTCTCCCAGCTGTTTTTTTAACAACACTAAACATATTCAGGTCATTTCACTGTTTGAATCATATCTTGATTAGGAAAACTTTCACCACTGGGAATAGGATATATTGTTTAAACTTATTACAGTGTTCATAGGCAGCAATAGGACCTTAAATAAACTATTTCAGGTTTTAGCCACCATCACGGGAAATATTTGTGCTTTTATCATAAATTAAAGTACAGAAGCAATAATTAAATATTTTACTGATAACTATTTTTTTTATTTAATTCCTCTTTAAAAAGTACATTTTCTGCAATTTTTATTAATATCTTACTTGCATTTTTATTAATTTATTGCTTCTACCATAGAGTTCATTTTTTGGGAGTGACCTCTACATTACCCACTCATGTTCCACTAATCGCATCACACCTGAGAGTAAAACAAATACAAAAATATGAGTGAAAACACCTGTTTCTAAGGAACAGGGCATACAGACAAAAGAAGGTGGCTCATTGATTTTTCCTTGGAGCAACTGAAAACAAAAGAAACTAATTCAGCTTCTAGCAGTAGACATAAAACACACGTAGTAATTTTCCTGTAAAATGCTTGCACAGTAATAGTGCTTGGGAGGCAAAGAGCCAAAAAAACTGTCAAGGATAGAAATGTGTGGATTAGCAGGGCCATTGTATAGCAGCTGTTATTTGTACTTGTGTCAATAATGAATCGTTAAAATCCAACAGCTTAAAGAATACAAAAAAATAATAATCTTATATCAAACATGTTGTTGGAGCTGATGTAGTCTTTTGTAAATGATAGACAGATGCTAAGCAAACCAAAATAACGTTATTCTGTAGAAAAATAAAGTTAGAGAAACCAGCTGGACACTTAAAGCCTAAATCACGCAAACAAGATGTACTGTAGAGATACATTCAGGTCTATGGGTTATTAAAATTAGTTTTCTCTGACCTCAAGTTCCCTAAAAGTGACAGAAGATTTTATATAGTTATGATTTATCAAACAGACAAAAAAAAACAAAGACTACATTGTTTGAAGCCACTGTTTCCTGTTGATTCAAAGGGAAAAAGTCACTAGAAGTAACTTCATGGCCTTAATCCACTGATTATTAGTGGGTGAGATCACCTCAAAGAATACAATTTCCCAGAGTGAAAATACAGGCAAATGTCAGCACTATGCCCTATGAAAGTTAAATTAGTACTTAAAGGTATTGCTGATAAATATGGTTATATAGAAGTTAGATTTTGCTGTTAGGGCCTAAATAAAATACTGGTTCTTTTGTTTTTGCTTTCTTAAGGCACTGTCCCTATTATGTATATATCATCATCATTAGTTTAGAATGTAAAATTATAACTTATTGATAAGTAAGAATATAAGGGGCCATTTTTAAAACTGATAAATTCATTCATCCAAATAAATGTATCAGTTACACATTTTTTGGAGGGGAATAAAATATATGTTACCATATTTAACAGCTCCACCTCAGGAGCAGTTTTACTTACAGGCGGATTTTAGTGCCACTTTATGAAAAATGTGAGTGGCAATAAAAACAAAAGAAGCCACTTAGCTTGTTTTTCTTGTTATTTTATCTCCTTAATGCAATCCCTTTCTCAGAGCATGCGCCTGTTTACTCAGCTTTTGCTCTGCAACTTGTTCTCCCTGTCTCAGCAACATTTATAGCATATTGACGTACTCTTACAGTGCAAAAGCAAGCAAGTATTGATTTGCATTATCCATTTTCACATATACACAGAATTAAAAGCTTTGGCCAACTTTGAGAAAAATCTGTGGCTGGTGGACAAACTAAATGCAATGCATGGGTACAACCGGGAAAGGAAAAATGATCAGAGGAGACACCAAAGCACCCTGAGACATCAGATTAAAAAGAAAAGGGAGGTGACTCTCAAAGGGAGAATAAAATATCTTTGATAGCAAGCTTTCTTTCCACCCCCCAAACCCCATAAGGTTTTCCCATCAGTGTGCCAGTCATAAATCTGCTCCAGCTGCCAACGCCTTTATTGAACCTGCGGAAGAGGCGAGCCATGCTAACATTACCATTATAAGCTCTTCTCCAAACACACAACAAACATTCACACACTCACCTCAAAGCTCTGCACAGCCCCATAAGAGGCCGGTTATACCCTGCAACACTCAAAGCTTTCTTTCCTAATCCAGCCTTTTGATGAGGGAGGAGAACATAATCACATGATGTGTTTTAACACCCCTGCCCAAAATCTGATTCACATTCAAAGTGCTTAAA